TCATCCCAATCTATTTTTTATTTTGAATCATTTTGATTAGATTTGAATTGCCTAATAGAATCATTCAAGACCGAATTAGCTACATAAGAAGCCATATTAATATTTATATTATTAATGAAGAAATTATCAGCAACATATTATTTTAAATTAATTATTTCACTAATGTACAATTCATTGATTTCTAATTATTGAAATAATATTATATTTAATAAATGTAGAGAGAGATAATTAATAGACTAAAGCCCTAAGAATAGATGAATTTAGCTGCTGTTATGAAAGAATTCATTATATTAGAGAGACAAATAGTTGATCTCAAGAATTTAATGTTGATAACTTAAGATATAAGTTGGGAAGCAATTTCAAAATTTATAGGAACAAAGTTGAATTTTTAGGAATTTTTAGGTGTACTCAAGAAATTTAAACATGATTGTAATATTGAAGTGGCTAAAAGATTGTTCTCATGTTATGATAAATAAGAAAAGGGTTATTTGGATGATTAAGATCTTAAATTGATGATTCTTCCAATATCTTTAGATACTTAAAATATCAATTAGATTGGAGATATCAAAATAGAAGTATTGAGCAAAATCTTTAAAGTGATATTAGAAGTTTAATTGAAATAGTTGAAATGCTTAAGCCATTATAAATTTAATCCTGAATTGGCTTTCAGATTTTTAAGTTAAGGAAGATTAACAGTAAATTAAAATCATGTGAAGATGTTTTTGAAAACTCATGGTATTTAATGTACTTAAAATGAATTGTTGTTATTGCACCCTTTTGATTTGAGTTTATAATAATTTATTATTAAATATGAATGCAAAATCTGATTTCCCATGTAAATACTTCCTTTAAGGTATATGTAGAGAAGGGGATTAATGTAGATTTTTGCATAGCACAGAAAGACTTAATTAAGAAGGAAATGATGAAGGAATAAAATTAAATAGATAAAATGGATCTCATCATTAAAATAATAGGTTTGCATTTCGTGGGAGATAAAATGCAAGAGAAACAAATGATAGAAATTAATTTGAAGAATTTTAAAGTAATGTTTACGATAAATCAAATAACAATGATTAATAATATAAATTGAATATAACAAAGTAATCTGATAATTTCGATAACTATTATTAAACATAAAATATAGAGAAGTCGTAATAATAAAATATTTATGATTAGAGAAGTAAAGTATTATAAATTTAATTATAGAATCATCATTAAAAGTTCTTAGAGGTTCTTAATAAAGAGAGAAAAATAATGTAAATTCTGATAGATGGGAGAGAATTCAAGAAAATAAAGAAGATAATTAAAATGAAGTTAGAGATTTTTAAAATAAAACAATTGGAAGAGGAAGAGGTAGAGGATATTCATAATAATCTGTATACAAGAGAGATAATGTAAATTAAGATAGATGGAATAATAGAAATGAAATATCAAGAACATAAGAATATAATAAGATGGATAATTATGATGATTAAAAGAATGTTTAAAAAAGAATAAAAAGGAATGATGTGGTTATTAAGAAAAGAGCTAAAATATTAAAATTAGAATAAAGTTTAGAAATGTATGAATTTGTTAAAGTAATTGGATTTTATAATTAATAATTGATAATATTGAAGGCTAATAAAATTGAATTTTATAATATTCCATTCAAAAGAAATGGAATTGATATTGTAGATGAAAGTTTAAAGACAAGTTTTGATCATTTGGATAAAATTTTTGTAAATGGTTGGGTTTCTTAAAAATAGGATGGAAGTTTTAATTTAACAATTGAATTTTTGAATAAAGGAGAAAAGATTAAAAATTTACTTATTTATTCAAATTTATTTTAATAATAATCTCATTTTATTATAAATGAAGTATCTTTAAAAAAAGTAGTTTTTGTAGATTATGATTAAGATCTAATTTTAACATTTTGTTAAGATGGTTTGATAAGAATATTTCAATTAATACAGGATCAATATAAATACATATAGCATAACAATTTTGAATAAACCATAGAAACAGTGATAAAGGTGGGAAGTAATTACTTAATTGGAACAAGGAATTAAAAAATATTATTGTTTGATGGATAAACAATCAAGAAAATTGAATATTAATTTAATAAATTATGCACTTAAATGATTGTAGATTACAATAGAGTAATATTAAAGATGGATAATGATAATGAAAGTTCTATTTACATTTTAACATAAAACTTATAAGTAATTGGACCTATGTATAATGGATCTAAGATTAATAGTTTTGGAGTTATTAGAAGTTATGAAAATGATAAATTATTCATTTTTAATGTAAATAATTCAATAGAGACATTTATAGAAATTGATAATGTGTTATATTAATTCAATAAGATATCGAATTAGAGTATTTAGAATATCTATAAATTTGAAATGACAAATGAAAATATGTTAATTTAAAAATATATAATAGGGAATAATGGATTAGATATTAAAATATTTAGTATTGTCCCTGAAGAATGATGATTATCTTATTTTAAATAATAATATATATCTTATATGCTAAATTATATTTCTAGGTATATTTAATTAAATATTACAAAGGTTTTCCTGTTTTTATATGTTAAATTTTACTATATTTTATATTGTGGTTTAGTTAAAATTAATAAATGAGAATTTTATAAAATTTTAAACATTTAATATTGCTATTTTTTCTATGGAATTATATGACCAGCCTTACTGTAACAAAACCAGATAAAAATTTAATAAGTATATTTTTATTTTAAGTTGAATAAAATTACTAAATTTTATATAAGTTATTGATATATTAAATTGTAATTAACTGTAAAATTTAAATATCATTATTAATATCTTTAGCTTGAAAATTGCCTTTTAAAAGACGTTAATATATTTTGATAATTTAAAATATAATCAGATAGACTATCAATATTATAATGATTTATTATTAAAATGGCACTTTTTTTATCAAAATTAATTTATATGAATCAATTTTATATTATAAAAGAATAGATGGAGAATAATGATATAACACATGATAATTTATATAAATCACAAATACGATATGTAAAATAGATTTCAAATCATAATTATTATTATTCCAATATACAAGTTGATAAATAAATAATCTAATTAGAAAATTAGTTAACAATTTATAAAAATTTATAAAATAATTGTTAAGGAAATATATTATTCCTTTCATTACTTCAAGATAGATCTTAATGTTCAAAAAAACTGCTTTTTAGAAAAATCGGTTAATTTTATTTGACCTTTACTATTATTAAAATTAGAGAAAATTAATAAAAAATAGTAAATCTATCTTTTAATTAGTCCCCTCTCAATCACAATTAGTATCAATTAGTCGATTATGATCCATTAGGTATTAACGAATGGTTGTGAAATATTAATAAATAAAAAAAAATATGTTTAATTTTAGGATTCTATAAAAATAAATCCTTAAAGATATTATTATCAAAATTTAGAATTATTGTTCTATTAAAATCATAAAGAAATTTTAATCATCCTAATCATTTTTGAATTGTATGTTCTTAATTATAATAATAATTACCATTTTAAGATTTAAATTATAAAATAAATTAATAACTTAGATTTATTTAATCTAATTTTTAATGCTATTATTGGAAAATGAGTTAATGAAATCCAAACTACTTTGAGAGTCTAATTATTAGATGAGATGAATTTTATGATAATTCTTTATCTTTATTTTTGGATTAAAAAAGAAATCCTTTAAATTTATTAAAATGATGATTGAGCTATTCTTTTATTATTTATCATATTTATAATTGGCATTCTCTTTGTATCTAGACATTTCACTTTCAATTGCTTTATCAATTTTAAATATAAAAATTTATCACTTCATCTATTCAATAAAATAATAGATATTATGCTATATTTACTATAAGATTGTCTAATAAATATACTTGAAACAATCGCAAACTTCAATTCATATAAATATAATGAACCTTAATAAATATATCATTCAATTTATCTAAATGAAATATTTCTTTTTCATTAATATACAATTTTTCACTACTCATATCTACATTTATAATCTTAATGTTGCTTAAACGTTATTTGATAAAGATCTTCATTTTAGCTTATTATTTAATTTATGAATCAATCTATTATGTAAATTAAGCAATAAAGAAGCATATATTCGAACCATAAGAAATATTCAAAACCATTACCTTCATATGGATCTAAGCGGAATGCTACTCTAATATAAGATAGATCAGTATTTACAAAGGAAAGAATAAACAAAAATCTTAGAATTCAGAAAAATATATTTGGTGAGTCAAGTTGTTATTGTGATTCTTGTGGTAAAAGATCTACTCTAATGAAGAAAATATTTCAGTTATATTAATTTCCTCAAACCAAGTATCATATTACTCTAAATAAATAGATAATGGAGAAAACAAAAATAAATTCGCAAATTCAGAAGACTTATCAATTGTGTTATTTTTATTATCAGATATAGAATTATGAAAAGAATAAAAACAAAAAAGAAATTCACTATTAAAAAAGTATTAACTAAATAAACAGTCAATGAACAATAATAAAAACCATCAACTATTTAGAATGCTATTTCGGAACTGAAACAAATAATTATTGATGATACTACTTAATAATCAAAGAGAAGCAAACCAAAAAGTAAAGATAATAAAAATTCATACTCTTCGTTACTTAAAGGGAGAAGGAATTTAAGATAATTATTTTTTATTCCTTAATTGGAGAGTCCAATCAAATAATTTATTATTAAAAATTCGAAACCAAATACTGTTCATCACTCTCCCATGTAGTCATTGTATGATTTCAAAATTTCCTCCTCTTTTAGAGGTTTGTGATTATATTTAAAAAATTGAGTTATTTTTTACTAACTTAATGTATTTACATACATATATATATACAAATATGTAGTTAAACATCATTGAATTAAATTAATATTTATTTGTTTAAGACAATAAAAACTTGATTAATTATTCACTTTTTATAATTATTAATAAATTTATGTAAGTACTTTAACCAATTAACGATCACTAATAACCCGTAAAAATTACATCAGAATACATATTTCAAGAAGCTCCTTTGACTAGATGTATTTATCATCCACAATACATACGTCATTTTTGTAAAGAACCAAATTGTTTGATGCCTTTGTGTTAAGATTGTATTTAGGTGCATCCACATTAACATTCTCGATATAGTATATCATAATTCCTAATTTATTAGTTGATTCAATTGAGAGTACATTAACATAAGTTTACAAAGGTTATGCGAGTAGGGCAAATGAAATTGCTACTCATCAAACAGGTGATATCCTATAAATCAGACAAGATTTACATAAATTAATTGATACTATTGTAGATGATGTATTGAATAAAGCAGATTAAAATTATCAATACAACTTAATTGTGTAATGGAGGAATCTCTTAAAGAAACTAGAAAAATTAAAAGACCCAAATTACTGTTTAAAAGAAACTATACTATATTTTGCAGATCAAGATAATTAGAATCCTTAATTGAAATATTAAGGTGTTCCTATCTAAGTGAATTATGAAGCATTAGAATAAGCAAAGTTCCATCTTCATCATCTATTCATGGTGACATTAGAAGATGGAGAATACTTCTTCAGACCAGGTGAAAAAACAGGTGACAATCCTATAAGAAGAGTATCAAGAATGATATATGATCCTGTTTTATCTACACATGCAGATTATCAACCATATAATTATAGTCCACAAAGGTTGATGGTTAGTTAACCAGTATAATAAATACCTTAATAAATTATTTATCAAACTCAAGTAGCTCCTCCAGTATAAACTTAATAACCACCAATTGTTTAAATAGTCCCTTAAGTTTAACCATATACATAAACTTATATATAATAACCATAACCATTATCATTTACATAACCTCCACCTTAACCACAACCTATTGTGATTAATAAAACTGAACCTCCTCAACCTTTAGTTTATTATCAAGAAAGTCCAATCAAAATGGTTTAACCAAAATAAGAACCTGTAATCTAATAAATCACAGTACCATAACCAACTATTTAACAACAGATCCCTTAACCATAGATTATTTAATATGTTTAACCTGTAGTTAGAGCACCATAATAAACCATTCCAACTGCTTATACAGTCTCAGCATCTAAACCTTTTGCTCCTTTATAAGTATTATACATTCATGAATTCTTAGCAGAGTGGAGAATACTCACATCCATACCCATTAGTACAGTAATGAAGTTATATGATCAGAATGTTATTCATATTAACTCAATTTTCAGATTAATTTTTTATTTACTTAGGGATTTTATCAGTTTATCCTTTCTCTTTAATAGCCAATTTGAATGAAGGATATCTGCTTTGACTTTTTCTCTTATGGTCATTTTAATAAGTATTTAATGTGAACCCAGTTATAACATCATCAATACTCCTATTTTGAAACCCAAATGGAGGATCATCATCTTTTTTTGTTTTAATTTTAATATTAACTTAATTTGATGAGATATTTATTAGAAGAATTGATTATTAATGAAATCTTCAAAATGAATTTGTAAATGATTTCCTTTCTTTTTTGATAGGTGATATCATCTCCTATTTTATTAGTTGTTATGATAAATTGAGGTTTTTGCATTAAAGATTAATATATATATATTATATAAATAAAGACAATATAAATAAGACTTGTAGGATACATGATTAAAATGTTGAATAAATATTGAATATAATAGTATGATAAGGAGAAGGAATGAATAAATAATAAAAATAATAGAAGTTTATTCTATGGAATATGTAATGATAGTTTATGAAGGATTGATGTTTTATGATTTTGGATGTATATTGAAATATTTAATCACTATTTATTTATTTGTTTTGATGAGAAGATTGTTTTTGTTCATAAATTTGTATATCACAATGGAGTTATTGATTTGTAAGGATGAGATGGGACTCACAATACAAATTGACAAATCTGTTTAGATACCAGAATACAATTGTACTCTAAATGTGAATAATGAGAAATTAATGAATATGACATCTTCTGGTGCTTAACTTAAAGTAATAGGAACTGAATTGCTATTGACTTAAAATGTTATGCTGATAGGATTTAAGGTTGTTGAATTCCAGAACATTACAATAGACACCTTAACAGACTCAATAAACATAATAGGTCCAGTTCTGCTCTAGAAAGTCATTCTTCTTAGGAATTGTTAAATAAGTAGTACTAAAATGTAGATACGTGATTCTTAGATGATAGGAATGACATTTTAAAATAAAACAGCATTTCAATCTTCAATTGATGTAGATGGATTATTCATTTCAGATAGCACTTTTTTTAGAAGTTAACTAAGTTCATAGATGATCTAATTAAGAAATGTTATTATTGATTAAGTAAGTTTTATCAATTCAACATTATCACCTAAAACCTATGTGAACAGATTAACTCTCAATAATTCATTTGTTGTTTAAAGCATTTTGATTGAGACAGATATTTCACAAGAAATCACAATCTAAAATACCTATTTAACTCTCTCAACTGGAATTTTGGCTAAGGGTGCTCTTTACACTAAAATTCTCAATGTAACTCTATCTCAAAGTATTTTGATACGAGTACAAAGTCAAAACTAAATCAAGCTCTCTAGTTTAAATATTAATAATGTAGTATCAGATTCACAATTGATTATAGCAGAAAGTCAATATGTCTATATATATAATAGTACAATAATGGAAGTTGAGTGTAAAGCGTTATTCTCTATTGATAGCCAAAATATATTTCTCCAGTAAATCATCATATCAACTTTGGTTGGGCCATTATTAATATCAATATCTAATCAAACTAATGTAATGCTTAATTACTTCAATATATCTAATAATTAATAAAAAGGTCTATTTTAAATTAATGGAGCTTTATCACTTTCAAAGGGTAATTTTAATTCCTTATTTGGAATATTAATTAATTCAATAACAATTACAGAATTGAATATTGATTAAGTGGAATTTAAATAAATCAATAATTCAATACTGGTTAATTTAAAAGAAACTTCCCTTATTTAATTAACTAATATTATAATAGAAGATTGTTTTTCAATTTAAATTGCAAAATTAGAAACTATTGTTTATTTAATGATTCGTAATCTAACAATTAATAATTGCTATGAATGCAATTTCTTAACTTTGAATGCTACTTAAGCAGATCTAATTTATATTAAAATATTTGAAATTAGTAATTTTCTTAATCCATTAATTTAAGCATTTGAAACTGATATAAATATCAAAGGAATGTAATTAAATAATATCACATATAATAATAAAGAGTTAATAAGTATATAAAATTGTACAAAATTAATATTCAATGATCTACAATTTACAAATATGGATTGCCCATATTGTGATGGTATCATAATGATTAGATAGAGCAATTAGATAGAAATATCTAAGTCAATATTCAAAAATACACAAAGTTTTTTTGGTTTTATTAATATTTAAGATTCTAACAATTTTTGTGCTTATAATAATACTTTTACTAATATTTCAGCAAATTAAGGATCTGCTTATGCTATATATAATACAGCAATTAAAATACATGGAAATCAATTTATTGATCTAGTATCTCCAGATGGAGGTGTGATCTACTTAAAGTAATCATCAGGATTATCCCATTATATTTAATAGAATTTATTTAATAATTGTTCAATGAAGACTAATAAACATATATTTATACTTACAAATTAAATAGTAGAACCTGATATCTTAACTTATGTAACAGGGCCTGTGTATTTAGTTGTTAATAATAATAGTTATTTATTTGATAATCTGATAAAAAGAAAGGAGATCATACATAAAGATAATTATAAGAGTGGATAGACATTATAATTGAGTATATCCATTTTAGATAGTGGATAGAATAAAATATGTGATTTAATTGATTATCTAACTATTGAAGAGTAGATTTTTGAATTTGATTAATTGGAATGTCAATATGATGTTTCATATAATTATTATTAAAAACTACCAAAAAATGAAACTATTTAAATTCTACTTGAATTTTAATCATTTAAGTTTTATAATGATACATTTAAATTACCAATATATTTAAATCTCATTTAATGTGAGATAGGAGAAGAATGGGAAAATTAATCATGTCTTAGATGTCCACCTGGATCATATAGTTTAGATAATTTTAATCATTGTTTATAGTGTTTAACTTCAATAGAATCATGTCCTGGAGGTTCAGAATTAATTTTGAAATAGGGATATTGGAGAGCCAATAAGAGTACAGATAGTATAGAATATTGTTAATCATCTGTGTCTTAATGTTTAGGTGGATCAAATGAATTCACTTGTAGTTAAGGTTATACTGGAGCATTATGTGATGATTGTGATTATTATGCAGAACATTGGAATAATTCTTATACTCGTGGTTTTGGAGGTAATTGTACAATTTGTGAGAATGATGTCTTCAATATTTTTAAGATTATATTTTCTTTCTCTTGGATCCTTATTGCTTTATTTATATCGATTAGAGGAAGTTTAAGATTAGTTAGAGCATAATTATCAGCTCATTATCTAAGAATGATGGGTATATTCTTTGCTACTAGATCTACTATGGTGATTGATCAAACAGAAATTTTAATTAAACTATTTTCAAGTTATTTTCAATTAATATCAATAGTATAAGTTATTGATTTTGATTTTCCAACTCCAATAGAAGTAATTGCATAAGCTATTGGTAATCCTTTATCAACTTTGGGATACTCTATTGAATGTTTCTTATTGAATTCATAACTGTAAATGGAAATAGTGTATTTGAGACAATTTTGGAATCTTTTTGTATCACTTTTATTTGTGTTTTCATTTGTATTGATATACTATCTTATTCATTTATGTAAACGAAATTAAATGGAAAATTCAATTAAAACTATATTCATTTCTTGTCTTATCTAAATCAATTTTTATTTTCAAGGTGATATTATAGAGGGTCTATTACAATTAATGTTTTGCATAAAGGCATCTGGACAATATTACATTTTAGCAGCTACATCATATATGTGTTATACTGAAGAATATTATCTTTATCTTAAGATACTTATTATACCTACATTAATTATTGTTGGAATAGTGTCTCCCCTTTTTTATATCATTAAATTATTCTAAAACAAGAATAAATTATGGACTTGTCAATTACGTATGCCATATGGATATTTATATGTGGAATATAAAGATAATTATTATTACTGGGAATTTGTATGTTTCTTTATTAAATCATTATTTTATCTATTGGAAACTCTTTTGATCTAAGATATAAAATTAATGTTCCTATTTGCTATACTTATTCTCCTTATCTATTTAGAATTACTTAATAAACATTATCCTTATATTGAGAAATAGTACAATTTTATTGATAAGATATCAACACAATTAGCAATGATTACTTTAATTTTATCATATAGTTAAGATAATAATCCATATACTGAATTAGTTTACATATTATCAATATTGTGTTCAATACTTAATTTATTATATTGTACTTATATATTTTCAAAGATCATAAGAGAATACTTGTCAAGTCTAAAATAATAACATATTGAAAGAATTGTTAATCTTATTATTCGTTATCCTTGCATTAAATATTGTATTAAAAAGCCTAAGAATTATCATAATAGAAGAAAAGCTTGTTTGTTATGGAAGAAAGTTAGAGTATATGTAATGGAATTTATAGAGAAATTAAAATTGTAGAAATCTAACAATAATCTTAATTAAGATTACTAAATACAAACAAGTACACATCGACCAAACACATCATCCACTAATACTTCTATTAGTTTACTTAATTCAATGGCACCATAATTATTAAAATATATGTAAAATATATTATATATTATTTAATAGAAAACACAATAAAAATAAGTCCAGAATTCAATAAGAAACTCATAGTCTATCATCTAAAAAGAATCTGGATTAAAATGATTTCAGCAGTGTAGTATCAGCATATATAAATCCAAATGTTGATGATGAAACTCCATAGTTTCCAAAGAAGAGTACTGTCTCAAGTATTTTTTCTTATGTAGTCAATAATCATGGGTAAACTCCATTGTGAATATGAATTTAATTTACTTAATATTATTATATTATATAATATAATTTGGAATTTAATTTCAAGTTGAAAATATTATAGATTAAGTAGAAATTCATATTAGTTTTTTTGAAGTCATTAGTTTCATTTATTTGATCCATTTTTAATTTGATTAATTTTAATAATTAGTATGAGTATATCAACAACTTGTGAATTCGATCATTCTAATAAAATCTTGCATCGTAAATTCAAGAGTTTACATTTTAAAAATAAGTAAGATCCTCTTATTACTGTTAAACCATTTGAAACTAGAACTCATGGACATTAATTTCAACGCAATTTCTCTCATTATCTAAAAGGAGATCTAAATGTTTCTAATCTTATATAAACTTTGAATTGTCCAAGACTAACTGCAGAGAATTAACTTTAACGTAAAGATGAAGGATCTCTAAAAATACGTCAGTAAACAGAATAGAGAAAGAACTATTTAAAGAGTAAACTTCTAAAAGTTAGAAATTTAATCAAAGAGAAAGTGGCCATTAAGAAACCACATAATGAAGAGATGAGATAAGGAAATGCTTAGACTTTGGCTATTGTTTAGACTATATTGGATATTGCTAATTATAAGGAAAATACAATAAGTTACTAAAAGAAATTGATGCCTAAATCAAAGAGTTTAAAATAATATAGACTCAATTATGATAATGTTGAACCTATATGTAAAATATAAAGAGATTTTATTGATACCATTCCTCCTAGATAATATTTGAAATCTGTATTGGAGAATAATGCCTAATTGTATTTGTAGGAATTGTAATTAAGAGGAGAATAGCATGATAATAATATCAATAAACTAGTGCGTTTAAGTATATAGAATAAAAGGAAGGATTTTACATTGTTTCATAAAGCAGCTAAGACAGACAGAAAAAATCAAGATGGTATTCTTACAATTGGTGATGTGCAACTCTATGATTATCTTTATAATAATTCAAAAGGTGTTATGATTGAAAAACATCCTAAATATATACAAAATGTAATTGACTCTGGAGTTGATTTTCGTAAGAATTTAACACGAAAACTACTAAATACACGACATAAAAAAACTCATTACAATCAAGATCCTCCTGAAAACTCTGATGATTCATGTGCTTCTTCTTTATAATCAGCTTGTGAAATTAAATTGGATAATTATTATGGAGAAACCAGAGAATGGAAACGTAAACAATATTTATAATTACCAAGACGTATTAAATAATTAATTGCTTTGGAAGAATTAAATTAGTAATTATTATTTTATCATTTAGGAAAGCCATTCATACAACAGTTAATAAGTTGTAATCTAAATCATGATGATATAATTCCTTAACCATTTATTAATTAATTATCTTTTAAAGAATGATCTCCTATTTTCTAAAGTATTAATCAAGAACTTAAAAAATTAATTATAGAAATACAAATATACTTTTAAATCTCTTAAATACCTATTCTTAATTTCTTCTATTTTTAATTATGTTTCTAAATAATTAATTATTTATTAATCTATTATAAATTTCATCAAGAATATATATATAATTAGTAACCTTAGAATTTTTGATAGACATCTATATATTTCATTAAGATAGATGTCGATCAATAATTCATTAGTAATATATATATAATATTCAGAATTTTATATATTAAATAATCTGGTTAATTTAAATCATGACATTTAAGTATACAATAACTTCTAATATGAAAATTAGTTAATTTAGTACAAGGATATTTATACATCTATAAAAATAAGTATTTTAATTATACTAATTTAATTATTGTTAATAATGAATCGACTCTTGATTACATAAACAGGTGAATAATTAAGAAGTGAAATGAAGTAATAAGTTTATCAAGAACGAACTGGTAAACAAATTATAAAGAAGGAGAAGCGACTTCCAGAACTTATTCGTTAACCCACAAATTTATTTATTGATACTGAAAGAGATAATATATTGTATCAAAAAACTTTGTCAGAAGTTGCCCTTTCTAATCTTAATCGAGTAGCTAGTCTAAGTTTGTTGGGTCAGAAAAGTAAAAATAAATTAGAAACTCATATAAGGGAAGAGTTGAATCTTCCAAATAACTTTTAGTATTTAAATTAGAATCTTGACAAATAGATCAATAAGATTCTTTCAGATAAGGGTATATTCTACGTTATGTTAAAGATTTGAAAACCAAGAGAAAAAGACATCTTTTGACAGAATTGAAACGTATTGAAAAAAAAAGAACAACTTCCCATAATGAAGATGTCTCAATATTTTCTTCATGCATTGAAGATTATGATAAAAATTAAAAGATGACTGCGATTATCAATGCAGAAGGCAAATTAGCATAATTGACTAGAAGATATAGGTAAAAAGAATTGAATGATTAAAAATTAAAGTTGAATTTAAATATAAGTTTAGAAAAGATGTAAGAACGTAAACATATGTTAATTGATGCTATTAATCCTTTGAGTCCAACATAAATGAAAATAAATTCATAGAGATAATTTGATGAAATGTTTTATGATAATTCATAAGAAAGATTTCATAATAGATTATAAGAGAAACATGTAAAATCAATTTGTTAGGTTTGGAGTTAATATCAATTTCCAAAATAAACAAAACGTTGGACATAATTTATTGAAAATGCAAAATAACAGAAAAAATAGTGAGTTATTTTAATTATCATAAGATACTAATATGTCAATAAAAATTTGGTTTATCTTTTGAAATCTTAGCAGCATCTTCTTATAATTCTCCTTCATTTAATTCAATTAAAGATTTTTAAAACTAATCAAGTAATTGTTCTTCTGATATTGCTTTCTCTATATTAGTTTCCTCTCCACTTTTAATAGCCTCTATTAATGAGAGACTTGTATTTTTATCATATTCAATCATTCTAATAATCATTTAATAAAGAAATATTTTTGGATCAACCATCTTCTAAAATTCAGGATGTAACATAATAGATGTCTATATAATAGAAAAAAAGGCATTAAATAACATATAAATTTAAATTGCACATGGCCAATTAGCCAAAAATGGTAACCATAATATTAATAAAAACTAACCAACATTACGTAATTTAGATGGTATAGTATCTTTATTTTCTGGTGTAATAAATCTTTGAAGATTGTAATAATAACATATTACAGTTAAAGAAGGTATAATAAAATAGGGATCCATATTAGAGAGAGACTATTTAAATATAATTATAAATAAGTACAGGTATCCAAAGAAAAGCAGTTGTTTTAAAGGATTCATCTATTAATAATCTACGAATACTCCAAATTAAAGTAATAAGCATTGGTATATGGAATACATTATATAGAAAGAGTCTCATCCATTTTAATCTTTATGAATGTACAATTTTATATGAGAGTCTTGTTAAAGTTATTAATTTCTTTGTTTTTGAATAATTAGTTTTATCAATCAATCTTTTCATTTAGGCAATTGCAGGAATAACAGTTGCTAATCTAGTTGTTCTTTTCATTTATAAATATATTAGAGGTAATAATGTTGATCTAGCAATTATACATGTTAAACTTAACACTCCTACCCAAGGAATATGACAATCATGTAAATATGTAAGTATTCCACTTCCAAAATCAACAACAGGATCAAACACTTATAAAGGACCAGGTAATGATGCCATGATATCAGGATCAAAAAATATCAATCTATCAAAGAATGGTTGATTTTATTCTAATGCGTCCATTTTTTATTAGATCTAAGGACTTGGTGCTATAGGACCAATTTATCCAACATGAAATTTAGGTATATAATTGAATCTAGGTGCCATCCTTAGAAATTTAATCATTATAATTTAATAAATATTATTTATTTTCTTTAAAATGGTTCATGTAAATAAATAAATTAAAAATGATTATGTATATTAATTCTATGTCAAAAAAAAGAATTTGATTAGAAATAGTTGATTATTTCAATTAAATTAATAATTCATTATTCATAGAAAATCTAAATTAGAATTTTGTTTAAGGTTGTCAAGTTGTCATCAATGAATATATTTTATATATATATTTTAAAAATTTTAATGATTTAACTGTCTTCTGTAGAGAGAACAACTATGATAGAGTTATTTTCTACATTTTTTGATCGCTTGAGTTCTCATAATCCTTAGAGAGAGTAAATGCTAAAATCATTATACTAATTTAAAGCATTACTATATGCAAACGATCCTGGAATAGAAAAATATTTACATGATCTATAAGGATAGAAATCTCCACATAAAAGAGATAATTCATAAACTAAGAAATCTAGTAGTGTTAGAAAAGAACAAGAACCAATTATGCGTCATCCAAAACGAAAAACATTAGGATGTGGACATGAAATTGATGTTGTAGACTCTTCAGGAGAATGTCTTGTATGTACAACATAATCAGTAAATTTTATATTAAAAATAGCCTTTTGATGAATTTAAATCTAAATGTGTAAATGTTTTTAAAGCATTATAATCCTTAGACAATGATGATTTCTTTAGAATTTTACAATAATTAGATGTAAATCAATAAACTTTAACATTAGGATCCTTTAACTATCTCTCTTTCTAAATAAAGATGCCAATCCTCTACAGGTGAATTATTCAAAGACCCTATGAATTATTCTAGAATGGCATTAGCAGAATAGCAAACCAACATTCAATAGATTATAAGAAAATGTCTTCGATGTAATAAGGATATCTAAAATCATGATTCTAAAAATATTAGTTACTTTTGTAATTCATGTAAAAACTTTTGATTTTCATTTTTATTTAGAATTAGTTAAAATATTTATTAATTAAATTAAACATTATTTATACATACTTATAAACACTTATCTTGATATTATTTAATATTTACTTTTATATTGTAATTCTTCATTAATAATTTTGTTAAAAATAATCAATTAAATATAATGTCAAATTAATATATAAATTGATGTTTAAATAAGATATTCTATATAAATATCATATTTAATATAGATAAAGTTATATTTAATTTTCAAAAAAGAATATCAAATAAGAGATTCTAAAACAAATATTTAATTATTTAATTAAATATGGAAGTCTTTTAAACATCAAATTAGAAATAAATTAGAACTAAGTAGAACAAAAAATAATTTAATCTTTTTATATTAGGTAAGGCCTAATAAAAAAAGGATGAATAATAATTGAAAGACACTTTTTAATATTATAAGCTTAAAGATGAATATTTACAATATTAAATTCATAAGAATACAACTAAAGGATTAATGTTATTCTAAAATAAAAACATTAATAAAAGTTTTATAGATGCATCCTCACATGTTTCTATTGAATAGGAACAATTAAGAACACGAACTCCTGATATTAGAGTATTGAAGAGNAGTTCTCATAATCCTTAGAGAGAGTAAATGCTAAAATCATTATACTAATTTAAAGCATTACTATATGCAAACGATCCTGGAATAGAAAAATATTTACATGATCTATAAGGATAGAAATCTCCACATAAAAGAGATAATTCATAAACTAAGAAATCTAGTAGTGTTAGAAAAGAACAAGAACCAATTATGCGTCATCCAAAACGAAAAACATTAGGATGTGGACATGAAATTGATGTTGTAGACTCTTCAGGAGAATGTCTTGTATGTACAACATAATCAGTAAATTTTATATTAAAAATAGCCTTTTGATGAATTTAAATCTAAATGTGTAAATGTTTTTAAAGCATTATAATCCTTAGACAATGATGATTTCTTTAGAATTTTACAATAATTAGATGTAAATCAATAAACTTTAACATTAGGATCCTTTAACTATCTCTCTTTCTAAATAAAGATGCCAATCCTCTACAGGTGAATTATTCAAAGACCCTATGAATTATTCTAGAATGGCATTAGCAGAATAGCAAACCAACATTCAATAGATTATAAGAAAATGTCTTCGATGTAATAAGGATATCTAAAATCATGATTCTAAAAATATTAGTTACTTTTGTAATTCATGTAAAAACTTTTGATTTTCATTTTTATTTAGAATTAGTTAAAATATTTATTAATTAAATTAAACATTATTTATACATACTTATAAACACTTATCTTGATATTATTTAATATTTACTTTTATATTGTAATTCTTCATTAATAATTTTGTTAAAAATAATCAATTAAATATAATGTCAAATTAATATATAAATTGATGTTTAAATAAGATATTCTATATAAATATCATATTTAATATAGATAAAGTTATATTTAATTTTCAAAAAAGAATATCAAATAAGAGATTCTAAAACAAATATTTAATTATTTAATTAAATATGGAAGTCTTTTAAACATCAAATTAGAAATAAATTAGAACTAAGTAGAACAAAAAATAATTTAATCTTTTTATATTAGGTAAGGCCTAATAAAAAAAGGATGAATAATAATTGAAAGACACTTTTTAATATTATAAGCTTAAAGATGAATATTTACAATATTAAATTCATAAGAATACAACTAAAGGATTAATGTTATTCTAAAATAAAAACATTAATAAAAGTTTTATAGATGCATCCTCACATGTTTCTATTGAATAGGAACAATTAAGAACACGAACTCCTGATATTAGAGTATTGAAGAGAAAGTAGAATGGGAAAGTTATATTTTAAACAATTCCAAAAATGAGATTTCCTTAATAGTAGTTAGTATAAAAAATAGATTAAGACCTTATAATTTAAAAATTGCAAATATAAACTTATATAATGTATGAATATAAAAAGGGTTTATTTTTTTCAGAGAGAAATGATAAAAGAAAATGAATTTGTTAATAATAAATTTTATGTTTTTTATTATAATTATAAATTGTAATGTAAGAATTGGAGGAACTATTACAAAAGCCAGAAATATATGAAAATTTGTCATTATTTAAGGAATTTTTAAAAGGAGTCAAGAAATTATGTGATTAATTTGAGGAGAAAATTAAAATGGTTCCTAAATAAGAATTTTAAGAGGAAACAAGAATTAAAAAGAAAATTGAAAAGTAAATTATAAAAAAGAAAAAAAAAAAAGATAATTAAGGTTAATTAGATGATGAAGATAAAGATGGCAAATGTAAAATTTAAAATATATGGTAGAATAGTCATAATTTGATAATAATAGAAATTAAATTGAGAAATTAAATGTAAGAGTGATTTTTTAAATATAATTTAGCTTTAAGATGTATCAATGGTAGAAATCTAAGATCTAAATAAATCTGGTGAATTATAAATAATCTCATAAAAAAAGTCTAAAAAAATTAAACCAGAAGTTAAAAGAGAAGAGGAAGATGCAAAAGGTATGTAAGAGGAAGATTCTTTTGGTGGGAATATTGTATATGAATATTAATGAATTTAATAGAAGAAATTTGTAATTTTATATTGAAAACAAAAAATAATTATTCTTCATTTTGGCTAAAGTCTGCTTAAATATATTTATGATTTTATAACAGGTTTAAGTTCTTGATTAACTGATCTAGGACTTTAGATATCATTTATATCATGATTAGCAATAATTTCATCTAAAACAGCTCTTACATTCATTTATTTTTTTGCAGGATCAAATTTTCGTATAGATCCTTATATATCTTCAACTTAACGAGTCAATCGTAAAGGATTAGATAGAACTTCAGTAATATCTAAGAGTCGTTCTACTTTTTTTAAATAGTTAAAATAGGTAGATCTTGCTTTAGTATATCTTATTAAGTCTTTTATTCGTAATTTTACAAAATTAGTTTACAATTCTTTTTATTCTAAATTTTCTAAAGTTGTAAATGTCTATTACTGATTAATAAGACAATTAATTAGATAAAGTCGATAAATAATTACTTATATTGGGTATAGTAGTAATTCAAAGAGTGCTCTAAGGATTGTAAAGAAACCTCCAATTTTAGCAGCCACATCCATGAGAGTTTGATATGTTATATAATTAAGTCTTTTCTTAAAATTCAAGTTAATTTCAATTTATGCAAATGTATTATCTTAATGATAATCTAAGAATGTATCAATTGTTGTTTATTAATATTCAATAGCATCTTATTCAATAGTTGAAGGGAAGAAATAAAATGGATTATATTCAGAAGTAGTTACTGAATATTGATAAAAGACTTTGATATATTTACGTATATTTGGATAACATGGAGTCACATCTAAGTTTTGCATTTTTTCATATGGATATAGATCCAATTCCTTATTGAATTAGTAAAAGGAATATGAATAAAATAAATTGGCATTTGATAAAGATGTTGTAATCTCTTCTTCAGATGCACAATCTATCTTATATATAAAATATAATACTTTAAGATTCAGTTGAGTTTGTACACTTTGAAATGAATGCACCTAGAAAAGTGAAGTTATCCATTCTTTAAGATCCTTAAAATCTGATTTCTTCATAAGTCTATGTAAATTGATCATCAGGACAATAAGTTATATATTAATAGTCTTCAGGAACATTCATTTACTATTAGATAATAGAATACTATACTTTTGATACTTCTGATATACGACTACCACAAATTACAGCAGGAAAACTTTCACAAGTAGTTTCTATTAAAGATTTTTTGCAATAATAAAAACTCACTTAAAAGATGCGGTTGTTCTCATTAGGAATGTATTAACCAGAATCATCAACTATTCCAATTGCATAGATAAATTATGATGAGTTAAAACTAAACCCCTAAAGATGATATAAAATTATATTTACTTCATTTTAGAGTAGAGGAGACTCTTTTTAATTAAGAATTGCATTTTTTCCTTTATTCATTTCTAATATAAAGGAGTTACATGAATATGCAAGTAACATGAATAGAAATAATGTCATAAATGCTCCTATATTTGTTCGATATGCTTATTAGCCTTAAGCTAATAATCTCACATCAATTCCAAATAAATCAATTCTTTTGAAATGAGTATAAGATTGCTTAAAGAAACTCATATGATTCTACTTTAGAATATTATGTTATATATTAAAAAATTATAAGATGTTATTTATAACTTTTGAATTGCATTTAATTTAAAATCCTTATCTTATTTAATATAAATCGATTAAATGTTTATTTATTTTTATTATTTCCATAATCATTTTAGAAGGGATTGCTTCAATTATTATATTGCTTCATAATCTTATGGACAATTACCATTTGTAAATTTGAATCTCGAATTACTATCACCATCCACTTATTTTAAGAAATAAAAAATACTTTTTTGTATAATTACTTCCAATCGCTTTTCAATATCAATTGGCTTTTATTATATTGGAATTTCGATTGATTGTGTTTCCTCTATTATCTATTATTATTATTATGGAGGTTATGGCTACTCAGGAATTGGATCTACAATATTATCTTCAATCATTCGATCAAGAATATTTTAAGTATTTAGGAAGATAGATTTTTAAAGAGCATTTTTGTAATTGATTTTGGTATAGAATTTTTTGAAATTTTCTTAAGCTATTTTTTGGGAGTAAGAAAAGAGCCATTTAGAATTGTTCATCTCTTCCTGGCATAGAATAGAGGCATACTTTTTTAATGACTTGAGTCGACTCTTTATCCTTTGGATGTTGGTGCAAATAAACACAGTCTTTTATTTTACATTACTATCCTTTAAGGAAATTGGTGCAATATTTGGTTGTACCAAAAGATGCCTTCACATATCTATCATGAAGTGGAAATCTTTCACATGCCATAAATTTTAAATATAATGTATACTAAAATTGCCATTGATGCTTCCTATTCATTTCTATATGTAATGTATGCAGCATGAGAAGGTGGATTAAAAGTATTGCTTTAAATTACAATTAATTTCTGTATTTAACCATACTATCCAAAATATTCTGGTTTCTTTAGTAGCTTTTGACTTAATGAAATATTTGATACTTCTTCTTTTGCTATAGTAGGTGCCAAACCTATAACATAAATTAGGTTTTTGCATATAATTCTAATTTCAGCCAATAAAGTTTTATTCTAAAGACTTATCTCTTTGAAACTGTACAAAAACCTAGGTGATTCCTATTGATCATCACTATAGTATTCGTCTGAGTTGTCTGAATTTTACATTTAATTATTTATTATTATATCTATATAATCTATATATATATATCAATGATCTTAAGCTGCTAAAATTTTATTTAGTGTCTCCTCCAAAACACCAAGGACATCATTCTCAGTAGCCTCTCTCTAAACTTTCTCTTCATCTATCTCCTTCTTAATCCTATTCACAACATCCTTCAACATTTCAAATAGACTCTGTTCTCCTTATTATCTACTCACCTTCTCTTATTAAATAATCTAAGATAATCTCTATAATTCTTCAGTCAATCTTGTATTTATATTTTTATCCATCTCGTCTCTTTCCTTTATATTCTGCTGTAACATCTCTTATAACTGTGGCAAATCACTCTTAAATACTTATTCAGTATTCTACCTCTAAACATTCATTTATTTCCTTGATTGATTGATTTCTCTCACTCTTCTCTTAACTGATCTGCTCTTTCAATTCTTGGATATCTTTCTCAACCTATTCATTGAACTTCTATTAACTTTCTTCTCTCTACTTGCTTAACTCCTCCAACTTTTCATTTACACTCTCTTCAGCCTTCTTCATATCCTCTATCATTTATTATTCATCCTCTTGCTTTGGTTCTTATTCTTCCAGAACCTATTATACATACTCTAATCCCTCTTTTATTTTAGAGATCTTTCCTTCTAAAGTCTCCTTAAGATCCTTTACAGCTGTCTCCAAAATTTCGACTCTCTCCTCTGCTTCCTTTATTCTTGAAGTCTTCAATCAAATATACACCATATACTTAATCTTTATGTCCCAAAGTTATTTCACTCAATTGTCCAACAATCTTCTCTGCTCTGCTTCTTGTAGGTGAGTAAGGTCTGCTCATGAATAAATTTTATTTTAATTAATAATAATTATAATATCAACATATATATAATCAATCATCCTACATCAAATCACACAATATTCTACACTATTTTGTTTTATTTCAATACTAAAATTATAAATCAAGATAGTATTCTATTTTTATTAAAATATCTATAAGTATAATATCTATATTAAAATAATTAGAAACATTATATATAATTAATATAAATATTTTAAATTCATATTTAAATTGAAATTCCTAATTTTTTGAGATCTTCTATTTTCTTTTTAACTCTAAACTAATTAATAAGATTCTGACCCAAATATACAGTTTTGATGTGAATCTGAATCTACTTTTATATAGCATTCATTATCATATCCAAAAACTTTTCAGTAATTACATTTGATTATAGATATAACACTTAACAATGTAATTCCATTAATTTAATAGCACCAACATCACTTATCCTATTTCTCATAAATTTAATTATTTTAACCTTCTTATTTCTTATTTATTCTTCTAATATCATAATTCCTTCATCTCCAAGATCTGTAAGAATATATAATTTAAAATACCTTATTGTGATAAATCTAGATAATCACCATTACAATTAAATAAAATTGATTCTATCTTGGTGTTTAACTTTTTTTTAACTATAGGTTTTTTTGGTGAAGCAGATTGCTATCTACTTTATATCTTAGGTGAAACTAAAACAAATTATTATGATGATCTTTTTTAATGGGGTTATTGTGGACTTATAGCATTCTAAGAGATATTATTAGAGGATGGTTGAGATTGACAAGTGGATTCTGGTAGAGATGATCCTAGAAATTCATTATGAGGTGGTTTTTCATCAATTTCTTTTAAGAAACTCTATTCAATTATTGATAAATCTTTGAGTATATTAGGTTCATCAAAATAAGTTTATTCATATTGATTAACAGTTGGTATAGCTGATACAATATCTTGAAGATTATTTTGAAATTTGAGTAAATAATCATCAATTTCTTCAAGAATTTATTTACCTTATTTATTTGAAGAGTCTTATAATAGCAAAGAATATGCAATTTCTCCTTTTACTTTTGTTTCATGATATTCTTGTATTTTTTGATTAGATCTAATTTATTATTAATATTAAATACCCTAGTATCCATAAATCAGCTTTATCAAGAATGGAAGTGATAGTTAGAGTCTCCTTTTTCAAAAATTGATCTTCTAACAGCTCATACTTCTATTCAATCTCTTCAAGTACTTTCTGTTACTTGGCAAGTATTTAATTAATGATTTCCTAAAATTATTGATTTAAGATACTTTGAATTGTTCTTCAGCAAGAGTTTATTATTATTTTATACAAAGTCTAATTTAGTCATGTATCTTCTTGTTTATTAGTGGTAATTTAAGTAATTTGACTTTATCTTGAATAGTGAGAGTCAAATGTTAAGTCTATATGAGGTTATCTTGTATTGATTTGTCTACAGACTGAAGAATCAATAATTATATGTACTTCAGCATTTTGTATGTTGTGTTACTTATGTATACCAAATAAGGCACAATTTGCACAAATTCTACACTTGTCATCTATACATATAAGCTCAAGGAGTTTGTGGTGTTAAGGGCACTATTGCAATTTATCTTGGTTCTATGTTATATCATTATCTTGGGTTTTGCAGATGATTCTCAAAACAGCTTGGTTTATTGGATAAAGTGAGAGATCTGTAGGTTAGAGCAATCTGATAAAATGAGATATAGTACCCATCTTCTGGACAAATGATTTTACAAGACTCTTTAAGACATTACATACACATTGAATGTCCACATTTTGGTAACATTTAAGGTGTTCGAGTATATTTATCGAAATTCATTTAACATTTCGGACAATGGAGTAATTCTTAACTCATTAATTTTATTATATATTTATATATATTTGAATTTAACTGATAAAACAATGGAAAACATATAAGTAGCAGTTCGTATACGTCCTGATCCTGAACCATCCATTTGGGCAATCCATGATCAACATATATTTCTTAACAATTAAATGAAAAAACCTCCTAATGGATCAGGTCGTACAACTTTTGCATTTGATCACTGTTTCAATTAAGATAGCAAAAATGCCGATATCTATTCTAAAGAGGTCAAATAATTAGTACTTGGATCTACTAATGGTATTAATGGCACAATTTTCTTATATGGATAAACTGGTAGTGGCAAGACCTACACAATGTTAGGTAAAGAAAATGATGAAGGTGTATTATTATAGAGTTTTAAGGATTTATTTACTAAGATTGAAGCTGATCTAAATAAAACTTATGTTTTACGTTGTTCATATTTTGAAATATACAATGAATAAATATTTGATCTCTTAAAACAATCTTCAAAATTATAAGAAACTTTATAAGTTAATGAAGATTAAAAGAAAGAATTTTATGTGAAAGGATTAATTGAATAATCTGTTTCATCTATTAATGAAATATTTGATGTACTTAAAAGAGGTGAAATTAATCGACATTATGCTCAAACTGCCATGAATCATAATAGTTCTAGATCTCATGCTATATTTAGATTATATGTACAATCAATTACCAATAATTTTATTCGATAATATAGAAGAGAATAATCCTAACATAAATTCCCAACTTTAGAATAATTAGAAGCTGAAAACAATAATTAATTAAAAGGAGCTATGGTAACTGAAAGTGTACTTAATTTTGTAGATTTGGCTGGTTCTGAGAAAGTTTCAAATCATTTTGAAGATGCAGAAATTTAAGATACTAATAGAAGAGTTAAAGAAGGTCAATATATTAATAAAAGTTTATTCTTTCTTACTTAAGTTATTTATTTAAAAGCAGAAGATAAAGGTCATGTACCATTTAGAAATTCATCATTAACTAAAATACTTAAATCTAGTTTAGATGGATCATCTAGAACATTAATTATTTTATGTATCAATTCTGCAGCTCTTCATTTTGATTATTCTATTTCTACTTTAAGATTTGGAATGAATGCTAAAAAAATAGAAACTAAAGTATTAGCCAATATTAATTATCAAAATGATGATGAGGCATTAAAAATCTTGCTTTCTGATTATGAAAAGAAATTACATGATTTAGAAAAAAATAGAATAGAATAGAAAGAAGGATTTGAATAATAATTAAACCAATTATAAAATGAAAATTAATAATTACAAAATAGAATTACTAATTAAAATGCTTAACATTTCAAATGCATTCCTAAATTATATAAAGAAATAACTTGGGCAGATAGATTTAAATATGATTTACATTGTGATGGTGCAGGAGATATTCTTGTTACTAATAAAAAAGTAAAAAAACCACCTTAACATGATTGTTAAGGTAAATTAGTTTTAAGTGCATTAAAAGTAAGTGAATAAAATAGAAAAACACTTTTATCTAATTATGAAATAATTAAAAATTAATATCTCTAATTAAATAATTTATATAATTAAAGTAAAGTTAAGATGTAATAATAAAATGAATAAATTCAATATCTAAATATTTAATATAATAAATTATATAGTTATGCATCAGAAATGAAATAATAGTTAAATTTTGATGTTAAATAACTTGAAAATACATAATTAGAATAAATGATTTAGTTTTATTAAACTTAATTATTGAAATTATAAATTGAATAATAACATAGAGGATAGTTTATAAATTTAGATTTAAAATATTAATATAATATTGAATAATTCAAATTAATTGAACAAAATTAAAATGAATTAGATATGTATTAAGAATATTAACAAATAAATTTAGATGAAATTATGTATAATAATTTAGTAAATGTAGAGATGGTTAAAGAAAAAGAAGATGAAGATTAAAGTGTTTAATCTGAAGAATTCTTTAAAATAGAGTTTCCTACATACTTACATCATTCAAATAATATTACTAAATAAACTATGAATGAAACTGCTTCTCAATTAACTGTTTAAGATTTGAGTGAAATTAATTTCAAGACTGTTTTATAAAGTTTTATTAGTGAAATGGATGTTCTATAACCATCTGTGTCCACTCATCATAAAAATAATAGTACTTCATGTAATAAGAAATAAACAGTTAAATATAAGACACCTGATAAAATGAAAAAGTAGAGTACAAGTCAAACTACAATTAGAGGAAAATAAAATATTGAACCTAGTCGTTAAAGTTTTAATAATATTCCAAAACCTAAGATAAGACCAAGATAAAGTGGTAATGCAAATGAAGAGTTATCTCTACTGTTGAACAATACTGAAATGAGTAAATATTGAATTATTTTTTAATTATCATTTATTTATGGAAGAAGCACATGACTTTTAGCATGTTGGTTAAAAGATACTAACAATCGATAAGTTATGTTATAAGAAGTGTCTAAAGAATTATGAGAGAGCTATGAATGTAAAAGAGGAAGCTTGTTTAAGTATTAATAATTTTAGATCATGTATAGAAAATTGTTTAGCCAAAGTAATCAATGGAATAGATTTTCTACATAATCTTAACAATAAAGGAGGTTTAGATAGAGCACCATTTAAAACTGATGGAGGATTCTGGTCAAAATGAGAGTTTATTTTAATATTTATTACTAAAATATGACAGATTAGCCATACTTAAGTCTCTCTAAAACAAAGAGTTCTCACTCTCATCATGGTTATCATAAGAAGTTGATATTACAACTTAATGAAGATGATTAATAACATATACCTATGTTACGTCAAAATACTAGCAAAAGTAGACATCTCGATTAGGGAACTGTCTCAAAATCAAAAATACAAAATATTGCTTAATTATAAGAGATGTTCAAATAATTTAAGCATTTTAAATGTTCACTTCAATCGTAGACTCCTGTAATTCAAATGATGAAATCTAGTCAAATCTCTAAGAAACCTCAATCTCAATCAAAAAGTACTATAGATGCAAAAGAAATTTCATTTGAGGATAAATAGAAAGTTATGATTTAAACTCGTAAAACAATGTTCAAGATAGTAATGGATAATAAGTTGAGAAGTTAATCAATCAAAGATTATGGATTTAATTTAAGACCATTATTTAATCAAGTTATAAGAAAAAATGATAGCATTTTAGAATAGAAAAGTATTAGTTTTATAACTAGTTAGTTCAGGAATCTAGATTAGAAAAAAGGAAATCTGACTTATTTTCACGTAGTCCATTCTCAAATGCTTATTATGCAACCAAAGCACTTTCTAAAAGATCTCGTATGAATGTTTATGAACGTCTAATACAAAATCTACCTGCTGATTCACGATTCCAATAAGAATGATATTATTATTAAAAAAGATTTAAAATGACCAACGCACAAGAGCGTATGTAGTAAGACTACATTTGGATTCGTGATCAATCTACTGGTGATGCTGATGTTAAGATGCGTACATTCGGACAACATTATCTCTATTATCATGCTCCAAATAAGAGAGAGAGATTGGAAATGATTTGGAGATCAATGGGAAAAGCATATGATTGGGAAATGGAGAAATTCAGAGTGAGTCATTCATTTATATATTCAATTAGATGCAAAAGAAGTTTATTGATAGAGGCAACAAGAGGAGATTCTTCAAAAATTTCTTCCGATTTATTAAAAATCCATTTGGTTACATATATTGGAAGACATATCGTATTAGATAACCTAAAGGACGTATCATCACAACAATGCTTGGCTTAGGTGTTATTGGTACTCTCTATAAATATAAAATGGAATCAAGTAATTTGAGCATAATAATAATTAGATTAAATCTAAAAAAGAGAGTATTATCTCTTGACTGCTGGTAAAAACTCTGAAGGAAGTGGTCTTATTAATACAGGATATAATAATGATAAGTAATTATTGCCTTTGATTTTAGATTGGCTCGTCAAGGAATGCCATTGACCCAAATGTTTTACTCTTACCTTCATGCCAAAGACATAGTAGTATCTAGATCTAGAGATTAAAATTATAGAAAGTACTTCGAAATGAGAAAGAAGTATTAAATCAAAGAATGATCTAAATATGTATCAAGATAAACATTATCACAAAACAAAATTTCACATAATATTTATAGTAAATCAATCATTTTTATAATAATTAATTACAAATCTCTTTATTTTTGTAAAATTGCTAAACCATACTATTTACATCCTCTCCTCCTTTTTATGATAAATTCTTAAAATCTGATAACACAGATGTTGCAGCCATACTCAAATTTCTTTATTTCAACATCATATCAATCCATTTCTCAAAATCTTGTTACATTTTTTCTCTACTGTGCTTCAATTATGTGCTCATTCTCTCCACTTCCGCCTTCAATTATTTCAATTTATCAAAAGACTATTTATATCTATATTTTAATAATAATTTTAATTACATATCCTTCTATTTATTATATTCAGTAATTAGTTTCTCTTCTTCTGTGCTTACTTAATTAGGATCACTGTTTACTAATCCAAGCAATACTTATTCTTTTCTTGATTATTCAATTTTATCTTTTAATTAACTAATAACATTTCTTTGATTATTAATAAACAATCCTAATTCTTTACTAGTCATCATCTTTTCTTATAATTCTTATTTTAAATCTTCTTATGCTTATGCTTTTCTATAAGATTTTCTGAACATTTCTAAAGCTGAATTTCTATCTAATAATTGATCATTAGTAATATTAATTGGTTCTGCTAACATTCCATTTAATTCTTTAAATTATGCATTAGTAGTAGTTTTAGTTGTTTAACTCATTGGTTCACTATCTAAACTACCTTACATAAAATTCTATTTCTTAACTGCAGGTTTCTCAGTTAAAATTTAACTTTGTCTATCAATTTCAGCTTGTTTTGGAAATTCAATTGGTTATAAAATACTAGATGTATTAGCTTATTGAATTTCAGGTTATTCTGAAATAGGTCCTTGCAATACCAATGATTAATTAGCATTAGATCCTTTACCTTTCTATATTAAATTTAGTAGTATCATAATTTCATTATCTCTTTATATGATTAATTATTTTAATCTTAAAACTTCATCATTTAATTATTAAACTTCAACTGTATTATTAATAGCTTATGGTTATGGTTATTAAACAACAGGTTAGGATTAGCCTTTCTTATTTAAATTTCTAAGCATATGTTTAAGTTAGAAAAAACATTCATTCATTTTTAAATAATCATTCACAACCAGAACAGCTGCAGGATCTTCAGAGTTTAAGAATTCATCTACTTTCTTTTTACATTCATCAATCTCATAAGATTCCAAATGATCTTTTATACTTTAACCTTTTATCATAGCTAATTCTGCCTTCAATTATTAATTTTCCCTTTTCAATTTCTCTATTATTATGAATGGATCAACAGCTTCATTTCTAGTTACTTTATTTTTAATATTAGCAACTCTTCCTGCAAATCTACAAGTACATATAGATTCAGGTAGATCTTCAGGTTCACTAGACATAGTAGCAATCATTCTTGTTTTACAATTACCACCCAAAGAATCTTTTAATACAAGTGTCATCAATGAATCTCTATATGGAATATGAATGTTTTCACCATTAGCTTAACGATTTAAACAATCAATAACTAATTCTAGAAAATGCAATGATAAATTGATGCCTGTAGCTTCTCTTTAGAGAATACCTTCAACTCCAGTTTTCCCAATTCTTTCACTACCACTAAGATCAACTAAACATAATTTAGAAACAGTTTTGACATCTGAAGTTGGCTTACGACATTCTAAAATAACAATAAAAATGCAATGAGATCTTGTAGATGCATCATTTTTTGGTGTTTCTGCAATAACTCTATTTTATTCTCCTATAAATAATAAATTAAGTGCATCTTCTTCTGTTTATGCCTTTTTCAATGATAATCCTTATAAAATAGTTTATCCATTTGCTGTTGCCATAGCTTAAACTTTTGGTAAATCGTGTAAATTTCTAGATCTATTATCAGCAACTAATAAATCATATCCAGATCCTCCATATATTTCTAAATAACTAATGGTGACATCAATTATCTAATTTGAAATTGAATGTTACTAATTCTTATTCTCTCCGTGCATAATCATAGATATGATATAGAGTACGTGGTATAATACCTGCAGATGACCTAGCCTCAGGATTACCAGTCATTGAGTAAGTTTTACCTGATCCTGTTTATCCATATGCAAATATTGTTCCATTATAACCTTTAATTAAAAGATTTACTTACCTTCAATAGCTGAATCGACTACATCTTTGGCTATTTTATCAAAGATTTCCTCTTGAGTAGTGTCAGTAGGAAAAACTCCTGCAAAATTGAATGTATGTTTTTCAATTTGGTTATTTATATAACCTTAATCTGGATTCTTTGGTATTATGAATTCAGCTGTACCCTCATCTTTATTAAGTTTAAAGAGATTTGATGGATTTTTTGTTGGACGGACTCTGAGGAATACATCAATTACAGATGATTTTGACATTTTTAATTATTAATATTCGGAAGTTTAGTGTTAAGGAGGATGGTTGAGATGATATGATGAGATATGTATACAATTAGAATTAATTAATTAATGTTATATTTATTATTGATTCCGGCTCTTGCTTATGTACAAGAATAATAGTTGATGGAAATCTATAATCAGATGAACGGCATTAAGGAGTCCATATCTTAATTGGAATATTATACTGCTCTAGAGAAATTAGAATGGAAATCTCGCTAGGATAGAGAGTTTGAGGAGGAAGGCATGACAATTTATTTAGAACATTTTGCTGATGTGAGTTAGAATATGGTTACTTTAGGTCCAAAAATTACTTAAATAGAGACTCAATTTAGAAAAAAAGGAAAAGGATAGCTTAGAACTCTTTCTACATGAGACATACCTTAAAGTCATAAATCTTCTAAAACGCCTAATCATAGACAAAGTATCATTCTTTTATTCATTGTCTTAGGATAAATTGATTGAGACTGACACAAGAGAATTAGCTAAGATAAAGCATCAGGCTAGAGAAGATACGTAGAAGCGCTTTGATGAATACAACTTTTTACTTTAAAAAATTAAAGAAGGTAAAAATGGGCAATTAAATAAATAGTGGTTGATTCTTCTAATATTTAAGATATTTTTAAAACTTTAGAATTATTAGAATCAAAGATAATGATAGGTCTTTTCAAATCCAATCCAAGTTTAGAATTGGATTTCTTCATAAAAGGAGTAGATCGATTGTTTAAATAAAGCAACCATTTGAATTCAAAAAATGAAGCTCTACAATTATTAAGTTTGATGCATAGTGTCATATAAGAGACCCTTATTGGAATGATGAATGAACAGTTAGAATATTCGTTTGATCTTTTGGATAAAGAACTTTTCTACTCTCAATCTAAAAACACTCACTAACAAGCAAAGGAGTCATTGATAATTCTCCTTAATAAACTTGAAAGTAAGATCCATTAATATCTATTAAAAAGTAACAGGAGTAAAGTTTTGGAATGAACAATTAAAATTAAATGGTAATGAGGATCATTTGATTCAAATATTTTAGAGTTCCCTTGATTAAGCTATGTTGATGAGTAATAGATCAATTCAATATCATCAATAATTATCAGATACTCTAAGAGCTATGTTGGAACGATTTCTTCAACGTTGATATTTTAGTTAATTAATATTTTGACTCCATTGTAGGAGTAAATAATAAATTAATATACAATCTATGATAAATATTGTTTTTATTGTAATTAAATGGAATTACTCACTAAAGTGGTGTCCAATTGTTAACAAATGGGTTTCTTCTAAATCCAAACTTAACACCTGAAGTATCAACATCGTCTGTTAATTTATAAGGTTTCAATCTGATTTACTCACCTTCTGCAATCTTTTCTTTATTATCAGCAGCAATCCTGGAATATAAAATTGAAATTACTATTATTAAACATCATATCTCTCCCATGGAGGTAATTTATCTAAGAAGTTTCTTCTTACATTACTCCAAAATGCTTCTTCATCTGAACCATGAATATATGGATTATATACCCATCTTCTATCCTTGATAGGTGAAGTCAATTAAATTTATCTTGCCTTTAATTTATATGTATCAAATCATACTGTCAAAATTTCCTTCTCAATGTCTGATAATTTTCTATTCAAAACTTCAAAATTTCTAATAAATCTTTCTTTAGATTCTGTATATCTGGTATTAACCCACATCAAATCATGAGCCAAACCTGAATCACCTCCCTTTCTTCTTGCAGTTGAGTAGTAATCAAATAATTATAGAGTACCAAACACTACTAATGCTCTTGATACCCATAATGAAGAACGATGGAGTCTTAGATAAGGAATATTATAGGTCCATCTAGTAATCCAACTATTGCAACAATAAGCAACTCCAACTCCCAATACAAATCCTACACTATTATTTTAATATTAATACCAAAGTTTCTTCCAATATTTCTATGGCCATACAACCAAGATAATTCTTTTGCTTCTTTTGGACTGAATCCCTCTTCTACCTAAAAACAATTCTTTCACATTTTTACTAAGGACTAACAAAGTACATCAGTCTTAAGACGCTTCCAATCGACTGGACCAAAGAATCTCTCGAAAGTGTGAATGATAATTTCCATTTTTATATTTTTATTAATGCCAACAACGATTAATGATTTTATTATAATAGACAAATTAGGAGAAGGCTCCTTCAGTCAAGTCTACAAAGTAAGATCCTTATAACATATTTTAATAAGGTCAAAAGAATTACAGACAATTAGTTTTATGCATTAAAGAAGGTTAATCTTTCTCTTCAAACTCAAAATGAAAAACTAAATACCCTAAATGAAATACGAATTCTTGCTTCAATTAATAGTCAATATATCATTGAATACAAAGATTCATTTTTAGATTCAGATGGCTGCATTCTTTATATTGTAATGGAATATGCTCCAATAGGGAATCTCATTCAACTCCAATAATAGAATCTAATTACAAATCAAGAAATATGGAGAATTGCAGTATAATTACTTTTAGGATTGAAATGTCTTCATGATAATCAAATTCTACATAGAGATCTTAAACTAGCCAATATTTTAGTTGTGAAATCTTTAACAGGTTATTAATATAAAATTGGTGATTTAAATATTAGTAAAATAGCTAAAGGGAATATTGCTAAAACCATAATTGGAACACCATGTATTATTTTATTTATAATAAGTGTATGCTGCTCCTGAAGTTTGGCAAGGTACATAATATTCATACCCTTGTGATATATGGTCTCTTGGATGTCTGCTTTATGAATTGGCTAAGGGTGTACCTCCATTTAATGGCAAAGACTTATAAGATTTGAATTTAAAAATATAATCAGGATAGTTTGACCCAATAAATAATTAGGATCTCAATTAATTTATTTCTTTTATGTTAAAAGTAAAACCAAAAGATAGATTTACTTGTGATCAACTCTTATAATCCTCATTGTTAATAAAAAATAGTGGCAATCTAGCTGTTTAGACTATAGTAGATGGTAAAATATAGATTGATCTACTATAAACAATATAAATACCAAAAAATCTCAAATAATTAAATCTACCTTCATAAAACTATATAACTAAACCCAAAAGATCTGAATCTTGTCAAAAACTAAAAACTTAGAATACAATCCAAACTAAAATTAATACTAATTAAATAAATTAGTTACCTCCAAAAAAATAAGGTTAATCTGAAATTTAATAACCTCCTCCATTAGCACCAAATAGAATAGCAAGACCAATACTTTAACATTAAGCTTCAGCTCATAGAAATAATCCACTTTAAATCACATCTTAAAGAGATCCTAGATAAATCACACGATAAGGTAGTGCAGGACCATTAAGTAGAAGATGAAATTATTCATTTATATTAAAGATTAAATTTAATTGATATAGTGTTAATTAATGTGATATGATATTAATCAAAAGCATTTTCTATGAACAACTTAAGCTCCTGTTTCATCATATTCAGCTCTTGTTATCCACATAGTTTAAAATGTTGATAATGATGATAAAATTGATCCACCTATCCAAACAGAAAACTTTCTTTCTGGTGGAGCCACTACTTTAACTTTCATTGAAGATGGTGCCAAATTTGTTAATTCCTTACTTAATCTTTCAGGTATTCCTGGGAACATAGTTGTACCACCAGACATAACAATATTTCCATATCTAAATAATTATAAGATTTTAATATTACAAGTCTTTTCTAACATCAATGTCTGACTTCATAATTGATTTAAATGTTAATTCATGAATTCCTGGTACTTCCAATCCAATAAAATTAGGTTTAAATAATAATTCTGGACATCTGAATCTCTAATTTTATATGACTACAACATTTCCATCTGGTAATTCATAGGGTTTATTATTAGCAGCACTTTCTTTATAGGTTTTTGTTTCTGCTTCATAATCTTATGCAACATAACATAATTTCTCTTTAATATCTCTAGCTATTTCCATTTCAGCTGAAGAAGTAAATGATATTCCCAATTCATTCAAAATACTTACTAGATATTAAGTACAAGCTCTTCCTGCCAAATCTATCCTTTAAATGGCATGAGGAAGTGAATAACCTTCAAAAATAGGTACAGTGTGTGTTACACCATCTCCTGAATCTACAACAATTCCTGTTGTTCTTCCTGAAGCATACAAAGAAAGAACTGCTTATATTTAAACATAAAATGATGGGACATTAAATGTTTCAAACATAATCTAAGTCATTTTCTCTCTATTAACTTTTGGATTCATTGGAGCTTCAGTCAAAAGTGTTGGATGATCCTCTGGTGATACTCTTAATTCATTAAAGAATGCATGATGCCATATTCTTTCCATGTCTAAAATTAATATAAGATATTTACCATCCCAATTATTAACAATTCCATTATCAATTGGATATTTTAAGGACAAAACTCCTCTTCTGGCTTATGCTTCATCTCCTACATAAACATCTTTTGAATCCATTCCCACCATTGCACCTTAATGCTTAGGTCTTCCAACTATGGCTGGAAAACAACATCTAGGAGCATCATCTCCTGCAACTCCTGCTTTACATTAACCTGAACCATTGTCAATTACAATTGCTGGATGTTCTTCACTCATTATTATTTTTAATATTCCAATTCTATTCATGGTCATTGAATTTCTACATTTCATCTCAATTTAAATCTGATGAATACTTTAAATTCTAAAATTTTATGGTTATTTTATTAACTATAATATTATAATAACCAATATTAAAATATTAAATTTACAAACAATTAAATTTTTAAATTAAATGAAATGATGATTATTATAATTTAAGAGTACTCAGATAAGATTAATTATATTCATCTTTTCAAATTTTAATTCATTATACTTTATACAGTAATATTTTTAATAACTTAGACATTTAAATTGTTATAATAATGTACTTTTAATATAAATTGATTTATATCATTAATAATAATAACAACCTAAGAATTTTAATTGAGATGATATATTCATATATTATATTTTTATAAAATATTAAAAATATATCAGTGGATTAATATTGAATAAATATAATAATTATTTATGATTGGCAGATTCGTAGGTGCTTCAGTAGGTAAATAGAATATGAAATTACTTAAGCTCTTTTTGGTGTGGCTGCATATGGAAGTTATAAAATAAATGAAGCAAAGTAATTTAAGGAATTGTACTTTGACACTCTTCCTGATAAAAGATAATATTTACTTTAACAACATTAGAATGCTGCCTATGTTTATGATCCAACATTTGATTCTTACGAACAAACAAGCAAAATTGTAATACTAGTTTTAACCTTAGTAATCATATCGAAAAACAATAGTGGGACTTTGTTCAGGCAAAATATTAGAAACAGGTGTTGGGACTTCTAGGAATCTTAAGTATTATCCTTAAGGCAGTGATGTAACTGCTGTTGATTGGAGTAGTAATGTCTTAGAGGTGGCATTATTAAAATCAGCTACAAACATTAACATTTCTTATAGATTGGAAGATGTAGAGAATATGAGTTTCAAAGATAATACTTTTGATACAATTTTAGATACTTTTGGATTAGAATATTATCTAAATCCTGAAAAAGCAATATCAGAGATGAAAAGGGTTTGTAAACCAGGTAAAATGAATTTGTATATATAGGGCGGCAAGATATTATTACTTACATCTGGTAAAAGCACCTATGACATACTCAATCTATATTTGGAATATAAATAAGCTAAATACTTGAGAAATTTAGGTTAATTTTGTAATAGAGATTGGGAATCAATTATTTAAGATCCTGATCTTTTAGTTTTGACAAAGGAGAGAAAAATAAATGGGACAGTTTATTTCTATGTTTTAGAAAATAATAAAAAAGAATGAGTGTTATAATAAAATAATTATTGAGCTAATATTTTATGATATTCCTTAAGAATAGCAAACAAACAATTAAATAATTTTTTATATATAATTAGTATGAAATTATTAATATTTCATAATTAATATAATTTTTCTTTTTAAAGTCCAATAAATATTTATTCCATTGCTTTACCCAATTAGAAACCAAAATCACTCCAATTTCCATACTTCCAATCATCAACTGCTGCAAATATCTATAAAAATCTAATATATATATAGATACCTCTTAGTAAATGTCCTTTCCATTAATGATTAAATCTTTTCCAATATGATAGATAAATGAACTTGGATTTTATAAGGCTTCAATTAAGTCTTTGATTTTTTGAGCTAATTTTAAAGCTTCTTGAGATGAGGATTAACAAGTTTCAAGAGCCTTTGGGAATTCAGAGAGACCTTCTACAAATGATTATAAAGCTTAGATGACACTTGATACAGACCCATCTTCTAAGAGTCTAACAGCTTTTTCAAAATCTATAACAATTCCACTAGCAACATTTAAACAAGCTTTAATGTCTTTTGCTTTAATTTGACTTGCATCTACTATTCCATCTAATAATCCTTCAAATATAATTCCAATGACTTCATCATCTAAAATAACAGCATCAATATTTTTAGTTTCTTTAAGTAGTTAAACTAGAACAAATCCAATCTATTTTCCAAAATCTTCATAAATTTCTGATTTCCAATCTTTTATAGCAGTATCTAAGATTATAAATAGTATTTACTTATTTCTTAATAGATATCTAAACCATTAACAATTAAATTGTAACCAATTTTATATGAGAATGTCCAAGGGTTTCTTAATTGTTCAAGCATATTAGTAAGTAGTTCTATTAATTAATATTATGTATACTTGATAAAGCTACCATTTCTTCAGATCCAGATTCACATGCAGTGATTGCATCAGGAATTTATTAAATGGCTATTCCAATTAATTTAATTCCTTCTTTGACACCATCAAAAGTTTAAGTCTCTAAATTTTAAATAGCCTTCACAATGTTGTCTATTAATGCTTCTGAATCATTTAAGCATGACACAATTTCTTTCACTTCTACATGATCATCTACTTACACTCCTTCTACAACTCCTTTAACAATTAAATAGACATCTTTAACATGTATGTCTATCTATTAAGAATTCCCTAACACTAAGAATGTTAAGACCATCAACAATATTACTTTCATAAGTTTAAATTTTATAATAATGATTAAGATTTAATCGATTATATTCAGTTAATAATATATATAATTAAAACTAGTAAATACTTAAAATGATTTTATATTTTTCAACATAAATTATTATTAGATTTTAGGAAGTATTTTGAACTTTACTAATTTTGATAAGTTTTTAATTGTGATTATGATATACAGATAAATGTATATTTAATATATAATATTAAAATGTAAAATAATATAGATGATGAAATGACAAACATTGAAAACATATAAATAGAAGAAAGTATTGAAAATGTAAATATTAGTTTTATATTTGATAAAATCAGAAAGATTTTCAGAAGCAGTTGAAAAATCTAAAATATTAATATCTTAATCTAATGAGCAAATAGCATATAATTTATTATGTAATGTCATAATGATTTTTTAGAAAGCATTTTAGAAAAATAATAATGTTTTGAGTAAATATTAGAATTGTGTGAATAAGCAATTGAGAAATATATTTCTAAAAGTCTATTTTTTAAATTAAAAGGTAAGAATATTAATGAGTAATTCATAGCAAAAGCATTATTATAATTCAAAAAAGCAAATGAATCTTTGGAACTTTGTAATTAAATTATTTCCAACCATCCATAAGAATTAGATTTATATATTTTAAAATGTAACATTATCATCAATTTAATCAGCAAATGCTTTAAAATACCTTGATAGAAAAGAATAAATCATATAGATGTGGGAGTAATTTGTTTAGCAATTTTGTTAAGTATTTGAAGGATATAATTATCTAAGTTATTTATTATATGATTTATTTAGTTTAAGCGTTAGAGGTAAATCAAAATTATAATGAGATAATTTCTGTTTGTGATAAGGCTATATAATAGTTTCCTGATTAAATTCTATTTTTACAAAAAAAAGGTTTGAAATCTAACAATAAATTATTAGGTGAAATTTTACATAAATAAAAGTCATATCTTTAAGCCATTGAAATTTGGGATGAATTAATTTAGAAATAAAAAAAAGAAGTTAAATATTATGAAATGAAAAGTTTTAAATAACAATTTAATTTTAGTAAAAACATTGACCAAATATAAGAAGTAAATATCAAAATAATATTAAAATAATAATAAAGAGGAAGAAGATTTAAATAAATTATGTTGTATTTATAAATAATTAATAATGAAGCCTTGATTAATGAATAAATAGTTACATGTTGTTCCTAATTACTATAAGAAAATGAGGATGAAAACTTAGAAATTGATAGATGTATTTTAATAAATAATATTTTTAGTACAATTCTTAGATAAATTTAAATACATATTGATTAATTAAAAATAAGCAGCTACTATTTTTTTAGATTATCTAATTAAAAAGTATCCTAAAAATCTAGACGGATATTATTTTAAAGGTATCAATGAATTTATTTAGTAAAAATCTTATATGAAGAGAAAAAATTTGAATAGATTATAGAGTTATACGATTAAGCTATCTCTTATCAACCTGAAAATATATTGTTATATGAGAATAAGGGTATATTTATATTTTTATATGTTTAGCTAGACAATTAGAAAAATAATAAAGATGGGTCGAAGCTTTAAAATGCATTAATCAAGCTTTATCAATGTCTCCTGAATCTCTGCATTATTATTTATAAAAATGTACAAATATAAATATTAATTTTAGTTAAATCTTTATAGAAGCTGAATCTTATTAGAACAGCTAGATAATGCNGTGAATAAGCAATTGAGAAATATATTTCTAAAAGTCTATTTTTTAAATTAAAAGGTAAGAATATTAATGAGTAATTCATAGCAAAAGCATTATTATAATTCAAAAAAGCAAATGAATCTTTGGAACTTTGTAATTAAATTATTTCCAACCATCCATAAGAATTAGATTTATATATTTTAAAATGTAACATTATCATCAATTTAATCAGCAAATGCTTTAAAATACCTTGATAGAAAAGAATAAATCATATAGATGTGGGAGTAATTTGTTTAGCAATTTTGTTAAGTATTTGAAGGATATAATTATCTAAGTTATTTATTATATGATTTATTTAGTTTAAGCGTTAGAGGTAAATCAAAATTATAATGAGATAATTTCTGTTTGTGATAAGGCTATATAATAGTTTCCTGATTAAATTCTATTTTTACAAAAAAAAGGTTTGAAATCTAACAATAAATTATTAGGTGAAATTTTACATAAATAAAAGTCATATCTTTAAGCCATTGAAATTTGGGATGAATTAATTTAGAAATAAAAAAAAGAAGTTAAATATTATGAAATGAAAAGTTTTAAATAACAATTTAATTTTAGTAAAAACATTGACCAAATATAAGAAGTAAATATCAAAATAATATTAAAATAATAATAAAGAGGAAGAAGATTTAAATAAATTATGTTGTATTTATAAATAATTAATAATGAAGCCTTGATTAATGAATAAATAGTTACATGTTGTTCCTAATTACTATAAGAAAATGAGGATGAAAACTTAGAAATTGATAGATGTATTTTAATAAATAATATTTTTAGTACAATTCTTAGATAAATTTAAATACATATTGATTAATTAAAAATAAGCAGCTACTATTTTTTTAGATTATCTAATTAAAAAGTATCCTAAAAATCTAGACGGATATTATTTTAAAGGTATCAATGAATTTATTTAGTAAAAATCTTATATGAAGAGAAAAAATTTGAATAGATTATAGAGTTATACGATTAAGCTATCTCTTATCAACCTGAAAATATATTGTTATATGAGAATAAGGGTATATTTATATTTTTATATGTTTAGCTAGACAATTAGAAAAATAATAAAGATGGGTCGAAGCTTTAAAATGCATTAATCAAGCTTTATCAATGTCTCCTGAATCTCTGCATTATTATTTATAAAAATGTACAAATATAAATATTAATTTTAGTTAAATCTTTATAGAAGCTGAATCTTATTAGAACAGCTAGATAATGCATTAGAATGATCCCAAATATTTATTATGACACAGACCAAGAAATGGAACAATGTGATTTTTGATAATTTATTTTAAATAAAATGAATATATCTTAAAATAATTAATAGGTATTAAAATCTCATCCGAATATAAAGTAATTATAACTAATCATATTTCATCTATTTACATTTTCAACTGGTGGAAACTACAATTTAAACTTAAAAAATTACATGGAATTCTGTTAAACAAGGAACATTTTCAGTTATTGTTATTGAACCCTAACCTTTTTTTGTTAGAGTAACTCTTCCACAACCATGAAGTCTAATTGATTTTATTTATTAAGGTATATTTCTTCTATCTAAATTTGGTGAACCTTGACAAATTTATTTCATTGTTCCAGTATAATTACATTCACTAAAATATTGTACGCATTAAACAGGTTTTAGATATATTTTTACATCCCTTAACCCTAATGATTCTAAAAGTTAAATATTAAAATTACCATTCCATGGATCTTCAGTCAATCCATTTGTAACATGAATAGAAAATGAATCTGCAGTATGACTTCCTTAAAAAGTGTCCCAAAAGTACCCATCTTAATAAGCTGTTCCACAAAAATCACTTGATCCCCATTCAAAAAACCATGTTCTCTGTTAAACAAATCCAGCAACATTAATTTCAGTTGTCTCTGTATCCCATGAATCAATATAGTAAACTTTTAATACCACTTTGATTTCAGTATGATTTGGAATATTTGAATATGACCCATGCATTTAGCTTCCTACACCAACAATTCCATAGCCCCCAAAAACACTGAGACCTGAGCAGGTGCAAATTCTATCTCCACTATATGCCCCAGTAATTTACCAATTAGAAGGCGTTGTAAATGTTTATTCATTAAATTATGTTTTCCATAAACAAAAGGAATCTGTCATAAAAAATAATACACTAATCATAGTGATTTCAACCATTTGATGTTGGTTTTTTTAAAAATAATTTAATAATTATGATAAATACTAAAATTATCATTTATAAGTGATTATTTAAGAAAATAACCATAACAAGGTTCTTATTTTAAGATGATGATCATGGTTATTTTGTTAAATATTCTAAATAATGCTCTATAAAATTTTAAGAATTTAACAAAATAATAATTTCTTGATTATAACTTTAATTCAAATATATGTTTTATTTTTATATTATTTATTAGATATTTGAATTCAAAGTCTTTTAGAAGAATTTCAATAACTATAATATTATACTTATATTGATTTTGAGATCAATAATAAATTTACAAAAAATAATCATAATTTTGTCTTTTTTGATGGGATTTCTCTGAGATCTTTCTTAAATTATGTATCCTAAGTGAATAAAAATTAATCTATTTAACTGACTGGAAATTAAGAATTTTGAGCTTATTCATCATATTGTTTTTTAACTGGTATTTATTTTTCTTCAAAAAAATCATCTACATTTATATAATTATTATTTTATTGTTCTTCTTCTATTATTTAATTAGATATTAATCCATTAATTTAATTTAATCTACATATTTCCTTTTTCTTTTCATTTAATAATAGGACAAATTTTTTTAATATCTCTTTTTCTCTCGATTATGATTAATTACTAATAAATTCAATATCTGTTTATAGTTTTTATCTTTATTAAGATAAATTTGTAAATTTTTCTTCTAAATTTTTATATGCTATATCCTTTTTGTCTTATATCTCTTTACAAACTCTGTAAAAATGATCTAAATTTGAAAGTGATGGATTTTCAATCAAATATACTCTTAATAAAATTACTTCATTCAATTTATGAACTTTTTCTGATAATATTAGAATATAATCACATGGAACTTGTTCATTACCTTCACTTCTTTTAAATGAATAGCTATTTAATATAATAAATATATATTACCTAAAATCTTTATCAGGTCTTTCTAAACATGTGATAATTTTGTCAAAATATTTCTAATCCCAATCAATTCCTTAATTTAAACATTCCATGCTATTCATTTCACTTTTGAAACATTTAATTCCTTATTTTTCAATAAACACATTAATCTATCCAAATGCAAATTTAATTTATTATCGTATTGGATGATCAAATAACTTTGTAAATATATATATAATCTATCCTTCTTTAGATTCAATTTTAAGTAAACTTGTTTTTGTCAATGGAGCTGATTCACCATCTTGTTTAATTTCTTTTTTATTCATAATTAATATTAATATTAGAATATGATCAGAAAATTAAATCAATGAAAAAGTTTTATAAAAATATATATATATAATTATAATATATATGATCATAAATTTTATATTAGATTCATATTACTTTTTAATTTGTTTAGAATTACTTACATAGATAATTAATTTTGATTGGACACTAATATATCTTTCTAAAGTTATTTTTTAGATTCATTTAAAAGTATATCAAAATCAATTTATATATGATAATAATTATTATAATATTAAATATATATAACACTTTAAATTAATTAGATTCATAAATTAACCTATATATATATATAATATTAAAGACAACTTGATAAATAAATATTAAATGAATAATTATAATAAATAAGTTTATTCATATTTATATATATCAAATTTCTATTAAAAATATCATTATTAATTATATACTCATTTTCTTTTTTGCTTCTTATTTAAAGGCTCCTCTTCATCACTTGATTCAATTATTTACTTTCTTTACTTTCTTTTAGAAGGAGTTGTTGTTATTTATTATGATTATTATTCAGTATTCTTTTTAGCTGATCTTCTCTCAACAGTAGTTTTTTAAGTAGTCTTTGTAACTTTTTCTTTTTATTTATTATCTTATTCTTCACTTAAGTCTAATTATAAAAAATCATCAATTTCATGATCTGAATCTTTTTTTTCTTTTTAGGCACTTTCTTATTTTTTATCAGCTACAATTTTGTCAAAATTAATTTCTCCTTATTTTGTTCTTTAAAGTATTCTATCAGCTAAGGATGGAATAGGATTATTATCTTTACCATTAATTGGTGTAAGGTATTTCATAAAATCTCCAAATCCATATTTTTAGAATAGATCCATTTCTACTTTATCTTAAATTGGAACTTTTAAAGAATCAACAGGAACTCTTTATTTTTCTAATTCTTCTTTTTCTTATTCTATTAATTTTTAATCTTCTTCTGCTTTTTCTTATTCAGCTTTTCTTTTAATTTCAGATGCTTTATTTTCTGAATCATATTAAGGTACAATTTTTTTTAATTTACTACTCTTTTTTATTTTAGATTCAGCTTTTTCAATTTTTGATTCAACTTTATTAATTTTATTATCAAATTTATTGATTTATGAATCTTTATTAGTTGATATTTGAATTTCTTCAACATCATTTTATTTTTAATTTCTTCTAGTATTCTTTTTTTAATTAATAATTTCATCTTCACTTTAACTATCAATAACTTTTTTATTTCTTTTTGGACTATCATCTTCTAAATCCATTGAAATTGGTTTTTCACTTTTATTATCATCTTAATTTTCTTTTGTATCTTTTTTCTTTGTTTATTTATCAATCTATATTTTAAATTTTTATTAAGGTATATCTCTTAATGATTTAATACCAAAATTTGCAAATTCTTTAATCACTTTTTTTAATACTCTTGGATCTCTAGATGGACCATCATCATCAGATTCTGAATCATAATCTTCTTATTATGCAAAATCATCTTTTCCTTTTAATAAATATGTTTTTAAATAATTTGCTCCACCTTTTAATAATTTTTCAGCATTCTTTTCTACTCTTTTAATCATTTCTTAAGTTTCTTATTCTTCTACTTTTGTTAATTCATCTAAAAAGTCATCTATATCTTCAGACCATAATTATTAAAGTGTTTTCTTATTCAATTAATTAATTTAATCTTATAATTATTTAATTTATTATTTAAAAGCTATAATTTTTTCTTCACTAAAATTCCACATTGGCATACTCAATAAATAATCATATTGTTTTTCTAAATTATCAGTATCAATTTCTTTTAAGTTTCTTGTACTCTTTATTTTTTCCATCTTACTAATACCTTTAAAACCAAGTGATTATAATTTCTTACACATTTCATTTTTCTTTAATCCTCTCAATTATATTGAATTATCTATCATCCCTTCAATAAATTTAGATTTAGATTGAACTAATTCTAATTCATTTTAATATTTAGAAAGTAAGTATTCTTTTCTTAATTAATAATATTTAATTCTAGTTTAATAGAATTCTTCTAATATTTCAGAAACATTAGAATATCTTTTTAATAAACCTTTTTCATTAAATAATACAAGATTAGTCATTGCAATAGTAGTTTACAATTTAAAATATTTCTCTAAATCTTATTTTAATACTTCATCATTAACTTTTAATTCAAAACATACTTTATTACCAGCATGATATTCTTTCATGTCTAATATTTCAGGTTCTGATTTACCTTCAGCTATTTCCATTTTCGATTATATGAATGCTTAATATTCCTTAACAGTTTTCTTTGGAGGTATTTCAGTAATATATATATGATTCTTATGTTAAATAAATGATCCTTTAGCTATATATTAATTGGTTCCAGCTGTAATTGAACCTGTAAATCCTTTATACCATGGAACTAATTCTTCAAATTCTTCTCCTCTCAATTTTCGTTTGATCTATTAACATATTTCTCTTGGATTGAAATTAGGTACTTGAGTAGACCATCCAGTACCTATACCTTCAGCTCCATTAATCAAAACTAAAGGCAAAATTGGAGTAAACCAAAATGGTTCAACAGTATATCCCTCTTCATCTAAATAATTTAATGTATGTAAATCATCTTCATTAAAGATTTTTGTTGTAAGAGGACTTAATTTAGTACCAATATATCTAGCTTAAGCTGCATCTTTACCACCCATTGATCTAGTACCAAATTAACCTATTGGTAATAATAAATTGATATTGTTTGATCCAGTGAAATTCTATGCCATAGCCACTACTGTTTATTAAAGAGATTATTCACCATGATGATATTAAGCATAAGTAGTAACCAATCCACTTAAAGAACTTACCTTATATTCTTATTTACTATGATTTAGAAGAGTATGTATAATCTTTCTTTATGTAGGTTTAAGTCCATCTATACTAGAAGGTATTGATCTTAAATTGTCATTAATTGAATGCATAGCCAAACAATCAGTTACAAAATTTCGATATCTAACAGTTGGTTTACTATAATCAAGAGTATCTTCAACTTATTTCCATGAATACTCTGAAAGCCAATCCTTTCTTTAATCAGCTTTACTTTTTGAAAATACTAAATCAATATAATCAGAATCTGTTTGATCAGAATAAGTAAAAACTTTTCTATGCAATGTTAAATTACTAAAGTATTATTAAGCCTCTGCATCAGTTGAAGTACCTAAACCTTTATAATATTTAACTTTATAATCTTCTGTAGGATTTTCTGCTATAAATTTTTTATATTCTCCTATAGAAAAGAAACTATGAGACTCTTTACCTTTAGTCACTTTAATAATTGGTGTAACAAATTATTTAAGAAAACCTTTCATTTTAAATAGAGATGGCCAAAACTTTTCTATAAAATTAATGATCAATCCTTTTATATGATGTCCATCATGATCTTAATCAGTCATAATCATGATTGATCCATATCTTAAAGATTTTGTATTTTCATAATTTTTATTAAATTATAATCCCATTATTTTCACTAATTGTTCAATTTCTGAATTTTTCATTATCATTTATATTGATGCATCTCTAACATTCAATAACTTACCTCTTAAAGGAAATACACCAAATCTATCTCTACCTACTATTTCTATACCAGCCATAGCCAATGATTTAGCTGAATCTCCTTCAGTTAATATTAAAGTGCATAAATCAGCATTTTTTGTACCTGCATCATTTGCATCTTCTAATTTATCTATACCTAATAATCTTTATTGTTTTTTGGCTGATAATTATTTACTTAATTATTTATTTAATCTAGATTTAGCCTACAATATAACATTATCTATAATCTCAGTTTTTTTTATAATTTCATCTATAAATTTCTCACTTATTTCAAATGTACTACCAAATTTTTAAGCCTTTGTTGTTAATGTTTCTTTAGTCTATGAATCAAATGCAGGATTCACTATTTAACAATTTAAAAATATTTTAATGAAACTCTTTACTTAAAAAGGTTTAATGTTTTTCATTTCTTTATATTTCTTTTTTATATGATTCAATAACCCTTCAGCTATTTAATCTACTATATAATTTACATGAGTTCCACCTCTTATTGTATTAATAGAATTTACAAATGATACTTAACTAAATTGACCATCTGATGAACTTACCAAAATCTCCCATTTATGTGGCTTATTCTAAGATGCATAAGCAAATTTCCCATTTATTCCATACAATTAAGCATAATCTTTAAAATTATTGATTGGCACCTTCTTACCATTTAAATATATAGATATTGGCAAAATACCTGCCAAATCTATTACACGTTTCTACAATAAAGGAACTATATCTGATAATCTATCTGTCTAGAAGTTCTTTAAATCTGGTTTGAATGTTATTCTTGTGTAAGGCTTTTCATTTGTCTTAGTGATTTCTGGTTATGAATGTTTCTTCATATTATCTGTCCAAATCATTGTAAACTTCTATGATTAATGAATGGTTTCCACTTTGAAATAAGAACTAAATAAGTTTGCTAACTTTGCTCCAAAACCATTTCTACCTCCTGTCACTTTCTATTCAGAATCATCATAATTAGAAGATGTTAGTAGTCTTCCAAAAATCATTTCTGGCACATAGATATTGTATTATTTATGTATTTATATTGGAATACCTGTTCCTGTATTCTCTACCATTATAGTATCATTATCTATTGACACAGATATACGATCTGTAGATTTATCTCTCTAATAATTGTCTGCTGCATTCACCAATATCTCATCAAAAATCTTATATAATCCTTAACAATAACTAAATTCTTCAAATTTGAATGAAATCTAATCACTATCCTCACAAATCCATAATTCTTAATCTGATATCTCTACACTCCCTATGTAAGTATCAGGTCTCAATAAAATGTGTTCAACTTAAGAAACCATCTTATATACATCCTCAACGTTCTTAGACATCTTTTAAATATTTAATTTGGAGGGATTAATAAAATTAATAAATAATAACAGGCAAATTATTACTGTATATCATTTATTATAAATATAATCATTATTAAAATTAAATATTTGAAATAAATTACAGATTTATACTATATTGTATTATGATTTTATATTTAATAATCTGGAAAATATACATTAAAATAAATTTAACATACCTTTTAATATAAATAATTTCTTTAGTATTTTATGAATTCTAGTCATTATTAAGATTCTTGATTATCTTTATAAAAGAATTTAATTATATTATATATTTCAGTATTGAAGAATCTAAATTAACATTAAATACTAAAAAGGATATACTTTATTACAAAATCAATTATATGTATTTCATTTTATATAGAATAAAAAAAGTAATAAGAGATTATTGATTCAAATTTTATAATTTAAACCCTTCTCCATATTAATAATTTCAAAAGTATATAAATAAATTTTCTAAGAAATTATCATCTTATTACTTTACTTTACCCATTAAAAATAAAATTTTATGTTATCACCATAGTTATTTTAATTCCTTAATTTTAATATGTTAATAATCATCGTATTCATTTTAAACTATTTAATATTTTATTTATTTTTATTTGATATTCAATTATATATATTAGATTTTTTTATCTTATTTTAATCTTTTTTATATTTACTTTCTTATTTCTATTACATTATAATTTCAAGATATCAAAGCAAATAATTTATTAAATTTCATTAAAATTTTTCAATAAATATTTGTTTTATGATTTCATTTTTTATATTTATAAATAATTGTTAATATGAATATCCTAATTAGGTTGATATATTCTTTTAAAATAAATATTATAAATTATAATTGATACAATACTAATTAGTATACTGTCACTTATTTCATTCTTTATATTAATTAAAATGTTCATATTTTTATAAACTTTTTCATAAAGAATATTTTATAAAAGAGTAATAATTAATAATTGTTATTACATCAATTACATTAATTTTTAATAATCTTTCTATTAAAATATTATTAAACAAAATAATGGATACATCATGGTCATAATAAATAGTTTATCATAAAAACTTATTATATAATGTAATAAATTGTTCAAATTGTTTTTGAATTATAAATTGTCATGTTTATAAAAATTCTAGAATTTTGAGGAATAAACTTCATATTGATAAAAATTATTTAATTTTTATTTTTGTTTTACCTATTTGAAATAACGTAATTTATTAATTTGAGAATTTATAACTATTAAATTAGAAAATGATGGTTGAGATTTAATTATCTTATGTTTAAACTTATTCAATAATGGCATTTTAATTTCAATTCCAAAAATATATTTTCAAGAATGATAAAAATATTAATTTTGCCTTCAATAATCCCATAATATTGTTTAATGAGGAATTTATATAAATTTAACAAATGAATTAAAATCAATGTCAATAGAGTTTTCCCCTTAATTTCAGAGCAAATGCTTTGACAATTCACCTATAAAACTTTTGGTTATTTCTGTAATTTCAGGAAATAAGTTTATAGAAGATATAAGTTAATTCAATTCTTCTATTTTCTCATTACTAGGTTAAATCATGGAATTTTTAAATTGTTAAGTAGTGTCTTAATTATTAGGATTCAATTCTTAACTTCCTCTTCTTTCAAACAGCTTATTCCTTAAATGTTTATAGTATCTGTTTTTCACCATGCTATATGACTTACTAGGGAAGAAAGTAGCAATTTTAACAAATTTAGGTCCTAATTCTTTAACATATTAAAGAATGCTTTCATCTTCTTCTTTAGTAAATTAAGAATTTTATGATATTTTTTGTATTTTATAATAGCATAATTCTCTCTTTCTTTATCTTCGATTGATTGATGAAGAAGGTCGTCTTGGAGGAGAGTATTCTTCGTATCGCCAAACCCTAGAAGGTATACGCTTTTCTCTTTACATTAATTAATAATAAATATGAATTTATGGAAAATATTGCTCTTCAACCTTTAAACTATTGAGGAACTTGAAATATTCAGTTTATTATTCTAAATTTTAATAAGAGATTTGATCATTTAAAAGGTTCATATATTTATATATTGGACTGAAATTTAAGTAAATTTTACAATGTTGAACTGGATGATATTAATAATATACTGTTTCTATTATTAAGGAAAATAAATATATTAGTAACTAATTCCTATTCATAATTTATCAATATTTAAATTATTAAGATAAGAATGTATCTCATATATNCAATTACATTAATTTTTAATAATCTTTCTATTAAAATATTATTAAACAAAATAATGGATACATCATGGTCATAATAAATAGTTTATCATAAAAACTTATTATATAATGTAATAAATTGTTCAAATTGTTTTTGAATTATAAATTGTCATGTTTATAAAAATTCTAGAATTTTGAGGAATAAACTTCATATTGATAAAAATTATTTAATTTTTATTTTTGTTTTACCTATTTGAAATAACGTAATTTATTAATTTGAGAATTTATAACTATTAAATTAGAAAATGATGGTTGAGATTTAATTATCTTATGTTTAAACTTATTCAATAATGGCATTTTAATTTCAATTCCAAAAATATATTTTCAAGAATGATAAAAATATTAATTTTGCCTTCAATAATCCCATAATATTGTTTAATGAGGAATTTATATAAATTTAACAAATGAATTAAAATCAATGTCAATAGAGTTTTCCCCTTAATTTCAGAGCAAATGCTTTGACAATTCACCTATAAAACTTTTGGTTATTTCTGTAATTTCAGGAAATAAGTTTATAGAAGATATAAGTTAATTCAATTCTTCTATTTTCTCATTACTAGGTTAAATCATGGAATTTTTAAATTGTTAAGTAGTGTCTTAATTATTAGGATTCAATTCTTAACTTCCTCTTCTTTCAAACAGCTTATTCCTTAAATGTTTATAGTATCTGTTTTTCACCATGCTATATGACTTACTAGGGAAGAAAGTAGCAATTTTAACAAATTTAGGTCCTAATTCTTTAACATATTAAAGAATGCTTTCATCTTCTTCTTTAGTAAATTAAGAATTTTATGATATTTTTTGTATTTTATAATAGCATAATTCTCTCTTTCTTTATCTTCGATTGATTGATGAAGAAGGTCGTCTTGGAGGAGAGTATTCTTCGTATCGCCAAACCCTAGAAGGTATACGCTTTTCTCTTTACATTAATTAATAATAAATATGAATTTATGGAAAATATTGCTCTTCAACCTTTAAACTATTGAGGAACTTGAAATATTCAGTTTATTATTCTAAATTTTAATAAGAGATTTGATCATTTAAAAGGTTCATATATTTATATATTGGACTGAAATTTAAGTAAATTTTACAATGTTGAACTGGATGATATTAATAATATACTGTTTCTATTATTAAGGAAAATAAATATATTAGTAACTAATTCCTATTCATAATTTATCAATATTTAAATTATTAAGATAAGAATGTATCTCATATATCAAACATAAAAGCAATAGTTTTAATAGGACTTAATGTACTATTAATAAAATTAATAATATATTGGAAATTAATACCATTTAGGTAATATTAATTATGTATATATAATCAAAAGATAGTACATGGATCACATGTTCTATTTTTTTTATCTTTATTCTTGAAAGAATCAATTGAAACATTTTCATGTTCATCAAATTATTTGAAATCAAATGCTGAATTTAATTTATTTTCTTAAGATTTTCTTAATGCATAAGACCTTGAGCAAGAATCAGAATTGAGTGTAAGCTTTAATATTGATAAATAAATTACCTGCAATAGTGCTTGCTTTCCTCTATATACTCTTACTTTTTGTCTATCAGGACTTAATGAAGCATTAAGTTAATCATCATGTACTGACTCATTTGTTTTCCTTTAATCTAATTAATGTTCTATTTCTCTAATTTTTTAAGAATAAAATTCCTCTTTTTCTTTTTTGGATTATTTGAGTTAATCAATTTCATTTTTTAATTAATTTAATTAGTTCTTGATTTGATTTGGTGGTTAGATTTCACTTCTCTTTCTTTTTAATGTAGAAGTTCTACCCATATAATATTTTTTATCATGTTCTTAATCTTCTAATTTCATCATACTATCATATATTTATTCTCCTTATGATTTTACTTATTTTAACTTTTATTTTGCAAGTAAAATTTCATCATCAATTTATCCAAGAACTTCTTCTGCTTATCCTCTTGCTAATTCAGTACCTTTTTATCTTTCTTTACAAATAAGAATTTCATCTTAAAGATCTTATACTTTTTCTTATATTTCTTAAATCTAAAGTTTTTTAACAGTAGATTTCTCCTTAGTTGATGATAGAATTTCTTAATGTTTTTATTGTAATTCAGAAATATAACTAGGCATATTAGCAGATGAGAATCTCATTTATTGATTTGTTTCTCTGGGAGTAACAAATTATTGTATTTAAATTGATTGAGGAATATTATCCAAACAAAGACTTTGTTTTTTCATGTGAGACTTAGTCTTGGGTATATTAAATGAATTAAAATTCTCCTTTAATGCTTTCTTCTCTGCAAGCATCACTTCCAAATAATCAATCATTGAATGAGCTTTTTCTAATTGTTCTTGATAACATTTTATTTATGAACTAGGCGAGAGACTTGGAGAAGGAGGCTAGAAATCTGAAGATGTTGACATAAATTTGAAATTAAATTATAGTAATTGTTAGTTATTATATAAATTAATGTTCCAGCAATCAAAATTAATGAGCAACAATCAAGAAAGAAGATAGATTGAAGATGTTATTCGTTAAATTAAAGGTCCATATCAGCCATTCTAGAAGAAAATCAAACTTAAATAATTGGTCTAAATTCTATAAGAGATTTGGGAAGAAGACGAGGATTATTGATTTTATTATTATTATCATAATATCTTGATTTAAGTATTTACCTTTTCTATCTCATTTCCATTTTCCAAATATTTCTATGATTTATTATAATATATTTTGGTTTAGATATATATTCTCCAATAGTGATTTTTTTTGCATTTATTCCATGATATGAAAAAATTACCTATCAGCAATTAGGATTGTAATTTAATTATTTATATTCTTCTTCTAAAGACTTCTTAGCCTCCCTAATATTCTCTAAAAGATTATCAATAGAGTATTCTCTTGAATTGCCAGATACATTCAAATTTATTAGGTATCTTCCTTTTAATATGAATATATTCTATTTCACTTATATTATAATTATTAGATTAATTAATATTATTAAGAATTTAATTTCTATACATCCAAAACCTAAAGTTTAAGATTAAGTTCAATATAGATTTTAATTTTAATAGAAGTTTTTTCACAATTATATCTTGAATATATAGAATGAGTATAATTAGATTCTAATAAATCAATTAAATAAATAACTTACTTCAAAAATAATAGATTTCAATCCAGCATTATACAAATTTCTAAATCTTACTTATTATAATTATTTAATAAAGCAAATAAAAAAATGAGAATTCCAAAACTATTTATTGAAGAATGAAGTCTAAAGTTATTATAAATAGTATTTATAATATTCATGAATTTCACAAAAAGATTTAAGAAAATAATAAAAAAAAATATATGATGTGAAAATAGAAATGAAATTTGTTATACTGTGGTTAAGATTATTATTAAATTTATCATATCAATGATAATAAATTTTTTATTTTTCTCTATGTGAATACTTTAATTTTTTAATTATTTTCATTATTATAAAGAACTAAAATTTGATTAAATATTATATAATGATTATATCTTAATATTAAAAAAGGAATCAAAAAGATTTCTAACAGTTAATTCATTCTAATTAATCTTATTTTGGAAACTAAGAGTATTTGATAATAATATACTTTATAAGTTTTACTTTAAGAATAACTATCTAAACAAGGTTCTGAAGAAGTAAACTCTTATAAAGTTCCTCCAAAATAATTAGGATCTTTAAATTAAACAATTATGTTTGGTCCCATAAATATTGATTTAATTTCAAAAGGAATATCATCCTGTTATTTTGTCTATTCACCTTTGCATATCTAATATAAATTCCCTAAATAATTGCATTCACTATAAAAATTAACACAAGGAATAGAAAGTCTAAGAATCATATCACGGAAACCCCAAGATTCTAATTAATATCTATAAATAGATTACCATCCCATAGATCACTCTCAATAGGCATTGTATTTAAATGATCTTTGAATTTGATAGTTAAATCTTCTTCTGTAATTTGAAAGTTAAGTTTAAGATGTGTAAATTAATCTTAAAAAATTACATTTCTGCAAATCGTATTTCCCTTAGGCCCTGTGTAAATTAAATTTTCTATCAATTAATCATTTGCCCATATTTCAAACCCTTCAGAATCCCATGAGTCTAATTTCCAAATTCCAACTTAAAGCTCTAATCCATGATTAGGTGGTATTTTTGGAAAGGTTTTTGTAACAGTACTTTAAAATCCATATGCACCCATATATAAATTATAATCATCAGATCCACATCTATCTGTAGTTGCATTACTAGTTCCAATAATTTAAAAATCTGTGTATTTACAGTCTTCTTCTATATCAGTTAAACAATTTTGATAAATTATTGAGTTAAAGAAGATAATTTTTAGAAATGATATGAAAGGTGACATATTTATGAAAACTAAAATTTTCTAATTAATTTATATTTCCATTAAACATATCTAAATGTATTTTGAACAAAACTCAATACAATGAAAAATATTTTTCACTTTTTTTGTAAACTAAAATTTTTAAGCAGTCTAAATAAATAAAAATGATAAAGGTAATCAAGTACAATTTTTAGAAGGATAGAATAATATTTATAATATAATTTAGAGATAATAAGAAATGTATATATAAATATTTATAAAGAATAAAATATAGTATAAAGAAAGAAAACTTAGATAAAAATATAAATAATAGTATGAATGTAATAGAATAGATCTATATAGATAAGTTTAATTAGTATAATTATTTGATTTATTATTTCTAAAAGTATATTTTAATTTACATAAAATTTTAATCAATAAAATTGAGGTAAACATTATTAAATTAGGTTTTATGAATTTTAAATGAATCATTTTTATTTCTTAATTTGCTTTTATTAAAGGATAAAAAAATAATATATCTGAATTATTGAGAAATAAGAAAATTCTAAGTTTTTATTAAGTTAATTAATGATGGAATATTAAAATTAATAAAATTGATCAATTAATTGGAAATATAAAGAAATTAAATTAATATATTTAAATAAAGTCACTACATCAGTTTAATCAAGAGGTAAATGAATTTATTTGATTTTGATTAAATATTTAAAAATAAACATATTACTAATATTAAAATTATATGACAGAAATAAGCACATAAGTTAATGTTAAGAATCATGAAAGAACTAAACAACCATCTATTTTAAAATGCATTGCAACAATACTGGAAGAGATAATTTAAGAAACAGACAAGTTAGATTCTTAATAAACATTATTTCATGCTTCAAAAATACCTGTAATATCACTTGAAAATTATTTGATTCGTATAGCAAAATATGCAAAATGCACAGATGAATGTTTCGTTATAGCTTTGATTTATTTAGATAAAGTTTAAGAATTAAATCCAGATATATTGTTAAATAGCTATTGTGTTCATAGGTATCTAAATCATACGAATTAGATTTTTAATTATAGCAATAGTTTTGGCAATCAAATTTCAAGATGATGATTTCTATAGAAATGACTATTATTCAAAAATAGCAGGTATCACTTTAAAAGAGTTGAATCAATTGGAGTCATTAATGCTTGAACTACTAAATTATGACTTATTTATTTAGAAAGATCTTTACTATATTTACATAGAAAAATTGAAGTAATATCAAGAATAATGAAAGCCATGTGTTTATTTTTTGTTGGGTTTTTATATAAAAATTTTTTTTAATTATTTTTAATTAATGCCTAAAGTTGGAGGAAGAAGGGTAAAATTTATAATTATGATAAAATTAGAAAAAAACAAGAACACATAAAGAAGCAACAGAGGAGGATCTTGATTTAATAGGATAGACACCAAAAGGTTTAATTTAATTTCTATTTTTCAAGCATTTATTTTAAAGAGAGGAAAAGTTTCTTAAACAATACGATAATTAATTGATGATTATAGAGATGTTATGTATCCATTTACAAGCATGAATTTACAAGAATCAGATAAAACTAAAATGAAAGATTATATTTAGGCAGCTGGTTATTATTTAATATCACATATGATTATTATGACATAAACTAACAAGAGTATATGAAAATGCTTAATAATTAGATTCATACATAAGATTCATTTAAAATCCTAGAGGACCTACCTTTACATTTCGTATTCTTAAATACGCAAATAGAAATGAAGTTCTTAATGCTTAAAGAAAGTTCAAATCATTTTCTAGAGTGTTTTCACCTCCATTACTTGTTATGAATGGATTTCAGACTGACTTTTAGACAGATGATCCTTAAAAACCAACTAGTGATCATATTAAATTAGTAGGTAATATGATTTAATCAATGTTTCCTGCTATTAATGTTTAAAATACAAATCCAAAAACATAAAAGAGAGTTATATTATTTTCTTATAAAAATGATAAGATATACATAAGACATTATTACATTAGTTTTAATTTAAAAGGAATAGATAAAAAAATGAAGAAAATCATAAAAGCAAATAAATTACCAAATTTATCTAAATACAATAGTTTTTCTGATTTTTTATAAAACAATCATTAAATGTTTGCTTCAGATACAGAATAATCTGATTTAGAGGAATTGGAAATTGAAAATAAATAACATAAAACATAATAAATGAGTATCAGATTACATGAAGTTGGACCTAGGTTGGAATTAAAATTATATAAGATAGAAGAAGGATTTATGCAAGGGAATGTTGTTTATAATAGAGTTGGTAAATTAAATAATATTATATAATTTTAGTATCAAAAACAAATAAAGCAGTTGAGAAATTAAGAAAAATTAAAAGAAGAAAAATGTTATTAAAATATAAAAGAAGAGAAGAATAAGAATAAAATGTATAGAAAAAAACAAAAAAATAAGATATTCAAGAATTTGATAATGTAAATAAAAAGGTTAAATAACAATGATTTTTTATTATATTATTTTATTGTATAGAAATGGTTTAATAAATACTATATCATTAATGAATATTTATAGTTTTTTAAATTCTATATTTATATTTCATATCTTATTGATATATCTATTTTTAATTTACAAAATACTTATATTGTTTAACTTACTATATTATTTTAACAATTACAATAAATTATTATGTAATTAAATAAATTTTATATTTTTTCAGTTGAATTGCTAAATGAATTACACTGTTTATTCTCCAAACAAAAAATTAGTTTATTAAAACAAAAATGGATAATAATAGTTGTAAATCTAATATAGTATATATTTTAAGGTTGTCCTCAGATTAAAAATATGATTACAAAGTTCAAGGTTTACTAAAAATGATAGATTCATAATTTGAAAATATGCTTCATTATTAAAGTTCAATAGAAAATAAACCTAATCTCAGAACTGAACCCAATTAATATTAAGATGATAATTATCCTACTAAAACTGTTAGACATTTCAAATCCTAAGATAAAAATTCTAAAACCGTATTAGCTAATCTGCTTAATCTAGTTGATTCAAAAGTTTAAAAATCTAGTAAATTAAATCATTCTATTTCTAATACAATTAAGTAAAATATCATAAAATTATAGTGACAATTGGCTAACTAAAAATAAAAAACTAATAAAGACTGATTAATCAGTTGATTTAAAAAATGACTCATTATAAGATCGTATCAAAACTTAAATATCTAATTATTCTATTTAAGATGCTTCTGTTTAAACTTAATCAAATAAATAAAAAAAATTGGGTTTTTTCACTTATGAAATCTCATACATTTCACCTAAATGTAAAAATTGTGGTTTTGAGAAGTAATTGATAGATGATAAAAGTATTTAAAATTAAAGAGCAGAAAGTAATTATGTTAACGCTTTCAAAGAGTATTCAAAAAAAGATAGTATAGAAAAATGCTTATTCTCGAAATAACAAAATAAGTGATAACTTTATTTATAATTAGAAATTAACATTTTTTATTTGATCAAAAAATTGAAAATTAATTATTAGGTATAAATTCAATCACTTTAGATTAAAAAAATTATTCTTCAAATAACCTCAAAGATCTCTCTTTGCTATAATCAATAAAAAAGAAGAATAAGAACTTAAAAAATTTTACTTAATTAGCTTAAGATGTTTAAATTTTCTCACCTGCAAAACAAGAACACTTTATAAATACAAATATCAAATAATAAAAAAAAATAATGGCATAACCATATAAGTTTATTTCATAAAAGATGAAAAATTCAATATTAATATATTGAATTATATATTTTTATTAAAATATATAATATTAAAATATATAATAATTCATATTAGTTTATGAATCTTGGATCCATTATTTGAAATATATAAATATTTCAAATATCATTCATATGTATTCAAAAGAATCAGAGATAGTATATGTTAATTTTTTATTAATATCATTTGCCTTCATCTATACTTGGCTTTTCGTTTTCATCCTCTTTTTTTTCTTTTAAAGCATTTAACATCTTATACATGCTTAATTCTTCTTACTTAATGGTAACATTTTATTCTAAAATAGTTGAATTTTCAGAATTTTAATTAAGTTATTGATTACTTTAGTTTGATAATTATTAGCTCTCTGTTTAGATGTTTTTCAATGTTAGTTATCTAGAGTCCATTTTCTTTGTTAGTATTTAATAAAATAAATAATTCTTAAATACGATAATGAAAATCACACGTCATCGCTTAATTAATGTTCTATTTTATAATAAAATGGATCGTTTACTTGACTATTTTTAGTAAACTGCTTAGATAAATATTTATAATTTATTTTATACTTTTCGTATTTTTAAATCAAAAATATTTCTCTCACACTTCTATTTGTTTTAAAAATCCTGTATTTTTATCTAATAATATTATATTATACCATTGTTTGAATGATTATTATTATAATTAAGAAATATGAAGATAAAGATCATTTTTAAGAAATAGTTTATTATTAATTAATTAAAATTGAACCAATTGTAAATTTTACATATAATAAATTATAATTATTTCATTGTATTTCCCTAAAGATTTTTACAATCAAAATATTCTAATAAAATATGAATAATTATATTCTAAATTATTGATATTTTGGAATTTTGGATATTTTCAAAAAGTTGATTAAAAATAGAGAGGATAGAAAATAGAAAATAGAAATTAAAAAAATTGTAAATTAATTTAGCCAAATTAAATTTAACATAATTCTAATCTTAAATGATATTGCATAATTTATTAATTATACTTTATATTATTACAGCATATTTTATTATTAATAATAATTTCATAATTCTATATAATTTCTATTCTTAATAGACTTTTACTATTACAATTTCCTGTTTAATTTTAATAATTAAATATCAAATAAAAATATAAATTTAAATTAGTTTTCCTTTCAAATATTACCTTATTAATTAAATTCTTCTTTTATAAAAGATTAATTTTATAATAGCATATTGTTTTAATATACGTTGATGATTACTTTAAATTAAAATTTTATAATCTTAATATTCAACTATAACCTTTAAGTTTACATCTCCTTTTTAATTTATTTTTTCTCTTTTATTTAATAAAATAGTTTAAGAATATTTTCTTAGATTCTAATTTTATAAATAAATATAACTATATTAAAATATAAAATTAATATTCTCATCAAACAGGAGTTGCTGATTCTTCAACAATTTTACTATTATTTTCATTATTATCAATTTTCGGTTTTTCTCTTTCTTCACATTTTTCTTCTTATATTTAAACTTCTTTTTTGTCATCTTTTTGCTTAAGTTGATTTTCTTCTTCAATTTTTTCATTTGGATCACAACAACTAGACCCTTCTGATTTAGCTTCTTTTATTTCTATTTCCTTTGGTTCAATTTCAGATTCATCATACAGTTTTTGTTAAAATAGCTTAGAATAAATTTCTTTTTCTTTCATCCTAGATTCCTTTAATAATTTCTTAACTCTTGATAATTCTTCAATTACAGCAGAATTTGTAGAATCTATTTTAAATGCTTCTCTTAAATCAGCTAATGCTTCTTCAAGTTCTGCCATTTTAATATTAGCTAAAGCTTTTCTATATAAAGCTTTTAATTTTTATTATTGATTAGTCTTTAAATCTAGAGCTTTCTTAGCATAATCAATTGAATCTTTATATTATTCTAATTAATAATAACAAATTGATAAATTAAGTTATAAACTTGCTTTTAATTCGTTGCCTTCCTCAGTTGTTAAAGTACAATAAGAGAGAGCTTTCTTATAAATCTTTTATGCTTCTTTATAATTTTATTATTTAAAGAATGCTGTTCCTTTAGTTCTTTTATTAATTGCTTCTTGATGCTTTTCCTCTGGAGTCATTTCCCTATAAAATTATTTTATTTTAATTACCATTTCTTTTTTTTAGCTTATTTAAAATTAATTAATTCTATTTCATAAGTGAGATTAGCATTTTTAGGAACATTTTTATATGAATTTCCTTCATTGCCATAACCATAATTTGATGTGATTTTCAATTCAGATTTTTCTCCAACTTTCATTGATTTTAATGCAATATCAAATCCTTTTATTAATTCATCTTTTCCAATTCTAAATTTATAAGGTCTCTCTTTATCTAATGATGAATCAAAAATTGTTCCATCATCTAATGTTCCTTTATATAATATTTTGCATCTAGATCCATCAATAGGTATTTCTCCTTAACCTTCTTATATAATTCTTTTCTTAACTCCACCATCTTCAATTAAATTTATGAATTCTGCTTCCATATTATATTTAATTAAATTTAATAACAATTAAGAGTTCAACTCAAAAATATGAATTTTTCTCGAAATAGATTTTTCTATTATTTTCTAGAAATTATATAAACATATCAATCTTTTAATGATAAAAACTAATTCTTCAGTTTAATTTAATGATTATAAAAATATTTAATCATATTTCCTTTTAAAATTTTTTGCATTATGAGATGTTCATATTTAATATATGAATTCATTTGCATCTTTGTATTTTATCGAATTAATCAACTTATAATTTCCTGATTTAGTATTAAATCAATTAATATATCAAATCACTTTATAAGTTAAATATACAACTTTTCTTAATAGACCAATTTAATTGAAAGAAGAATGAAATTGATAAAATATTAAAAAATTTAAACAAATTCTCTACTGAATCAGTGTTCTAATATTATTTTAAGTTTTACTTGATGTAAACTATTTAATTTTATAGTAATTAATTCTCATAATTTTAGTTGATAAAACTCATTTGAATTTTAATATAATGATATTTAAATTGTTGTGATTTTCATCTACTCATTTTTAAAATATGATCAATATAGGTTAAATTAATCAAGTGAGTTAAAGAACTATGTTTAATTTAAAGGTGATTTAAAATTATTTATTTATTTGTAGTGTATCAAGAATCTATTTACAATATGCTTTTATAAAGGGTTCTAGAATCAGGAGGTGTAGTGTATCAATAATTTATAAAAAATTATTTATATTATTAATTTATAAAGATAACATATAATGTGATGCGTATTGAAATTTTAGGAAAATTAGAGAAAAGTAATTGTAATTAGAAAATATTAATACCATTTAAAATTATTAGCACATATTAAATATTTATTGATAATATTATATATACATATATGCCTCCTGTGTTATCTAAGATCTTAGATGTGAAATAATTCATGTTGAAATCAACAAAGCGTAAAGTATTAACATATAAATAATCTAATTAGTTAATCTCAGGAGCTGTAATAGCAGTGATTTTATATTTACTTAAGATCAGATTGACCAAATCAAAGACTGAAAATATGAAAGTGAAGAGAGATGAAAAAAAAGGAAAGGGAAATGTAGATCGTATGTTCTTAAAAAGAATTTTGAAATTACTCAAAATAGTTATTCCAAGGTTGAACTCACCAGAAATTTTCGACTTGTTTTTGCTTACGTAACTTATTGTCTAAATAATAATAGAGCATCATTAGTCGCAAGGACATTTTTAAGTATATATGTAGCTAATGTTAATGGTTAAATAGTCAGAGCAATCATTGAATAAAACAAAAATTTGTTTATATAAAGGATATTGAAATTAGGAGTTGTTGCAATTCCTGCATCATTTGTAAATTCCTTCTTAGATTATTTGAACAAATCTTTAGCAATAAGATTTAGAAAACGATTAACCTAACATTTTCATGACATCTATCTTAATGATATGATATTTTATCAATTAAGTAATTTAGATAGTCGAGTTGCTAATCCTGATTAAAGATTAACAGCTGATATAGAAAAATGGGCTAATTCATTATCCTAAATTTATTCCAATTTTTCTAAACCTGTTTTAGATATTATATTGTTCTCTAGAAAATTGGCTGAATTAGTTGGATATTAAGGACCAATGTATGTCATTTTGTATTATCTAATATCTGGATTTTTATTAAGATTTTTAAGTCCACCTTTTGGTAAATTAACAGCTATTGAATAAAGACTTGAAGGAGATTATAGAGCATGTCATAGTGATTTAGTATATCATAGTGAAGAAATAGCATTTTATAGAGGACATGCTTGGGAAAAAACAAGAATCACTAATTCATTCAATAATTTAATTGGACATACAGGATAAATCATACTTAAAAGATTATATATGGGTGTTTTTGATAGTATGTTGGTGAAATATGGAGCTGTTATGGTAGGTTATGCAGTAGTTGGTTTACCTGTTTTTGGTAGTAGAAGAGAAGAATATTTAAAGAGTGTTAATAATGATGCTTCAGCAATAACAAGAGATTATGTTAGAAATTCATCTCTTTTAATTAATTTAGCAAAAGCTATTGGTAGATTAGTAGTTTCATATAAGGAAATTTAATAATTGGCAGGATATACAACTTTAGTAGCTGAATTAGATGAAGTATTAAAGGATTTAATAAATGGTAAGTATATGAGAACAATGTTATAAAGTAATGAAAATTAACCAGGATATTTTGCATAGAAATAATCATTAGTATCAATGAATAGAGGTTAAATAGTTGAAACAGAAAATACAATTAAATTTGAAGAAGTTCCTATTATATCACCAAATAATGATATATTGGCATAAAAAATGACATTTGAAGTAAAATATAATATTTATATATAAGATTCAACCAAATATGAATTGTATTGTGACAGGTCCAAATGGATGTGGAAAATCATCATTATTTAGAATTTTAGGTGGTTTATGGCCAATTTCAAGTGGTAAATTATATAGACCACATATTGATAAATTATTCTACATTCCTTAAAGACCTTATTTACCTGCTGGAACATTAAGAGATTAAATTATATATCCACATACAAAATTATAAATGTTAAGAAAGAAAGTAACAGATGATGATTTAACTGAATTATTGAGATTAGTTCATTTGGATTATTTAGTTGTAAGAGAAGGAGGATATGATAAATGTAATGATTGGAATGATGTATTGAGTGGAGGTGAAAAATAAAGAATTGCTATGGCTAGACTATTTTATCATAAACCAGTATTTGCCATATTAGGTATAGATTTATTATTATATTCTTAGATGAATGCACTAGTGCAGTCTCAATGGATGTAGAAGCCACCTTATATTAAACTGCAAAAATGTTAGGAATCACTCTCTTCACAGTTAGTCATAGACCTTCATTATTTAAACATCATGATTATATGATCTAATTTGATGGAGAATAAGGATGGAATTTTAAAAAGATAGAACATAGTTCAGAATGATAAATAATAAAATATATATATATATATAATATGTCTAGAATTAGTGATTTTGAAATACTCAATCGTTTGGGTGAAGGATCCTATAGTTAAGTTTATAAAGTTATCAGGAAATCAGATCAACAAATTTATGCTATGAAGAAAGTTAAACTATTTGATTTAAAAGAAAAAGAGAAAGAAAATGCTCTTAACGAAGTTAGAATATTGGCTTCATTTGATGATCCCAATATTATTAATTACAAAGATGCTTTTATTAATGATAATATGTTATACATAATTATGGAATTTGCTACATAAGGTGATTTGCAGAATAAAATTAAATAAACTGGTAATCAATTATTCCCTGAAACAGAAATATGGAAAGCATTATATTAAATTACAAAAGGGTATATTATATTATTTAATTTAGTCTCAAGAAATTACATGATAATAAAATTGTTCATAGAGATTTAAAAACTGCAAATATATTTATCTCTAATGGTAATTATAAATTGGGAGATTTGAATGTCTCTAAAGTAACTAAAAAAGGTTTTGCATATACTTAAACTGGAACTCCTTATTATGCAAGTCCAGAAGTATGGAGAAATGAAGCATATAATTCTATGAGTGATATTTGGAGTTTAGGATGTGTAATCTATGAAATGGCTTCACTTAAATTACCATTCAAAGCTCCTGATTTATAAGCATTATGCAATAAAATCTAAAGAGGACTATTTGAAAGTTTACCTAAATAATATTCTAGAGACTTATAATAAATTATTGTCTAAATGATTTAGGTTCATCCTATGAAGAGATTATCGTGTAATTAAATTCTATAATCTCCCCTTCTTATCAATAATTTAAAAGTAATACCACCTATAGAAAAACAAACTTCTAAAGCTGAATTACTCTAAACTATCAAATTATAATAAATATAACTACCCAAATCTAATTATAAAGAAGAACCTACCAAAAAAACTGTTGAATAACCAAGAATGAATTAAAGAGCACATAGTGCATGTATCTTAATTCATAATTATTGTTAGTACCTGGATAAATTAAAGAAAAGAATTTATCTCCTATGAATAATTAAGGAAATTATCCTTCTGCACCCAGAAAAAAAGGAGAACCACCATCTACTCCTAGTACTAGAATATAAAGTAGTGCTCCAAGTTAAAGAGATAGAGAAAGAATGCTTTAAGAATAATTAAAAATAGAACTTTAAAAAGAATAATAAAAACTTATTAATTAAAGATAATAAATAAAAAATAATAATTAATCTATACCTACTGAAGTTATTCGTTAATAGATTGTTCAATAACATAAAAAAGAAGATCTAAAAAATGAAGATAAACTTTCAAATTAAAGATAAAAATCTGTTGATACTAATAAAAAAGAGAGATTAATTGTTTCTGCATAACCAAAATAATAAATCTAATAAAATGTTTAAGCCTAAGAAACATTATATTAAACATAACCTTCTGAATTTATTGTTGCAGGATTAAAAAATATTAATCCTTAATCGATATAATCTATACTATGTTAACCTGTTTTGGAAATTGGAGAAAGTCCTTTTCCATAAAGAGCAAAAGTTAAAAAATAAGAATAAATTAACAATCATTAACATTATTTCCCTATATAAGAAGAATTTTCTGATCGTAAATTAGTTAAAGGAAAGACTAATATATGAATATAAATACAATATTATTTATTAAGTCTATTCTATATAAATTATATATATTTCCATTTAAAAAATTTAATTATAAAATTAATATAAAATATATTCTCAATATTTTTTTGAGATCACTGATTTTTTGAGTAAAAGGAAACTTTTTATTGAAGATCCTCCTTAACTTATATTTAAAGAACTATCAATATTAGAATATTTCTCTTTTTGAAGTTATTGATCATTTAAGACTTTACTAATACCACTACTAACAGATTAATTATGTGTATTGTAACTTTCAACAATTGAATTTAATTAACTTATCCCACTACTTATTTTATCTAATTATTCAACATCATTTTTAGATAATTACAATCTTGAAATAGATGATTCTTTTGAATAACATTATTTTTACAGTTCAGCCTTTTCATTTTTACTAACTACAGAACCAATTATAGATTCATTTGATTAAGATTTACTTATCATACTTATATTACTACTAATACTCTTTGGAACTTATTCATTAGCTAATGAACCAATTGATGAATCTATTGATTCTCCAAAATATAATTTAGATTTATAAGTTGGTTTCAATTTTTATAATTTTTTAACTTGTTTATCAAATTCTTACTTTTAATCTTAAATAATTTATTGATAAACAATCAATCTATTAGATTCAGTCATTGGATAATTTTATTCAAGTTCTTTTTATAATTCAATAAATAAAGAACCATCTTCATTAATTTTCATGTCCAAATTACTATAATCACTATCAATCATTCTTTATAATTTATAATTATCTGGAATTGAAAAATCTATACTTGAATTTGGTAGAGAAGGTTCTTGATATTTAGGATCTTTTTTAAATTTTATTTATTCAGATGGAGTTATTAATGAATCAATATCTGAATTAACATTTTAATTTTAATCTATAAGTCTAATAGCTCCATCAATATCCATAATTTTACTGATAGATATATTTGAATCTGTATTAAGTTAATTTAATTCTTAAGCTTCTTTAAGTGTAATTAAATCATGGATTTTTGAATTAACAATTTCCATACAATTCTCTAATTAATTTGCTTTAGGTTTATATTATTATAACACATCTCTATATTTTAAATAAATGCTTTCATCCTTCATCAATTAAGAAACATTAGAATCTACTGATTATACAAGATTAGAACTCATAACAGAAAATAAAGGGTCATTTCTTAATAATTCAATTTCATCTTTATCTATAACTTTACTAATTTCTGATTCTGCATATCTCATTCTTTCTGCCTCTTTTATTCTTTCTTATTAGAGTTCAATTTCCAATTTCATTTATTGCAATTATTCTTCATAATTTTGTTTTATTCTATTTAATTCAGCTTAATGTTACTCTTCAAGATCTTTTATTTTTTATTCATTTTCTTCATTTTATCTATCTTAAACACCCAATTCTTTAAGTCTATGTTATACTTACTCTTCAATAATTTAAGGTAATCTAAATTCATCATATAGACTTATTCCAATTCCAGCAATACCTGGATATAGATGTTTTTTATTTGAAAATGATTCTTCTGTTTTATCAAGTTATTCTTAAATATCTTCAATTTAATCTTCAATTATTTCACTAAGAACTGGTTGTTTTTATTATTCTATGGCTTCATTTAGTTATTTAATTTTTGATTAATATTATTTAATAATCTTTAAATATTCTTATTCTTTTTTCGCATCTATTTAAGATGAAACCATTTAATTTTCTTCTTTTTTTTGATTTTTAGGTTGTTCTTCATTAATAGATACTTCAGATTCATTTAATAGATCATCCATCATAGCAGCATAACCAGATTAAAATTTTTTCTTTTTCTAATTAGATGATTTTTAAGAAATTTAAGACTATTAAATTTAAGAATTATCTTAAGCCTATGATTATGATAATTGATTATTTTGCTCATCATATTCATCTAATTATTTTTACATATCATCTTAATCTATTTCACTTTCTTTAAGTTAAACTTCTTCATCTTATTATTATTATTATTATTCTTCTTATAATTATTCTTCTTGATTATTATCTTATTCATCTTAAATATCTTCTTCTTGCTATTATTTTGCTTTTGGTTTTTCTTATTTCTTAATTTCTTTTGCTTTTGGTTTTTATTATTTTTTTAAATCAATATCACTACATTGATCAGGCTCTTCTTTATCTTTAGATTCTTAGACTTCTTTTTTAGAATCTTTTTTGGGTTACTTTTTATTTTTCTTATTATTCTTTTGAGGATCTTCCATTTCTTCAAATTCATCAACTTAAAATTCATAATTTTGTAACTTAACAAAATCACCTTCTTATTTACTAGGAAGATTCTTAGCTTTTTCAATAATTTTTTTAATTTCTTCAGGTCTAACATTTTATATTCCTTCCATTTTTTGATGTGGATTTGCAACAGGTATAACATTCACACTCATTTATATATATAAAAATTGATTTAAAATATGGAATTTTAGATAAATTAAATTATTTTAATATGTCAGACAGAGTGACTAGAAAAGGAAAAAGTTAACCATAGAAAGAAGAACCAAAATAAGCAAAGAAGTAAAAAGTTTAAAAGGAGACTTATGATGTTGCCTAATTATAGGATATAGGTAATAGAATGATATATAAATATTAGCCCATCAATTGAGGATACATTCAATTGAGATGACAATTGCATCTAATTCTGGACATCCAACATCATGTGCATCTATGGCAGAGATTATGGCAGTGCTATTTTTCACAAAGGCAGGAATGCATTTTAATCCAAAAGATCCAGGAGTACTTTGTAATAGTGATTTTAGAATTTTGGAAATGATAGATTTGTTCTTTCTAAGGGACATGCAGCTCCAATTCTTTATGCTGCTTGGTCAATGGTTGGTTATATTGATAGTAAAGAATTATTGAATTTGAGAAAGATCGATTCAATATTAGAAGGTCATCCAGTTCCAAAGTAGATAATATATTTTATATTTATATAGATTACCTTTTGTTGATGTAGCAACAGGATCCTTAGGATAGGGATTATCAGTTGCAGGTGGTATGGCTTATTCATCTAAATTTTTGGACAAAATAAATAATAGATACTGGGTATTGATGGGAGATGGTGAAATAGCAGAAGGATCAGTATGGGAAGCAGCTCATTTAGCTAGTCATTACAAATTAGATAACATTACAGCAATAGTAGATGTAAATAGATTAGGACAATCTGAAGAGACTTCAATTGGTCATGATGTCAATGTTTATAGGAAGAGATGGGAAGCATTTGGATGGAAAACTTTTGTAATAGATGGACATAATTTGAATTAATTAACTGATGCTTTTGATTAAGTAAGTGATTCTAGAAATATTGCTTATAGTGTAGAAATGTTAAGAATTAGCCACAAGTTATAATTGCAAAAACATTCAAAGGCAAATATTTGGAAATGGAGAACAAAGAAGATTGGCATGGAAAACCAGTTCCATAAGCATAAGTGGACTTTGTTAAAAAACAAATGAAGTAATAGGATGGATTTACACTTACTCCAGTAGTTCCTACATAAATAGAAAAGCCATAATAAAGTCATTTTACATTGGAAGTCAATTATGCAGTTGATGGCAAATAATCAACAAGAGAAGCATATGGAAAAGCTTTGGTAGGATTGAGTAAAACAGATGCTAATTAATAAATTGTGGCAGTAGATGGAGATACTAAAAATTCAACATTCTCAATTAAATATAAAGAAGCAGTTCCAACTAATTTTGTAGAATGTTTTATTGCTGAATAAAATATGGTTGGTTGGGCATAAGGATTCAGTTGTAGAGGAAAAGTAGCATTTGCATCTACATTTGCTGCATTCTTTGCAAGAGGTTTTGATCAAATTAGAATGGGAGGAATAAGTGGATCTTAAGTTAAATATATTGGATCACATGCTGGTGTTTCAATTGGTGAAGATGGACCATCTTAAATGGGTTTAGAAGATATTGCAATGTTTAGAACTATACCAAATTGTGTTGTTTTATATCCATCTGATGGAGTATCTGCTGAAAGAGCTATTGAATTAGTTGCAAATCATAAATCTCCTTGTTATGTTAGAATGAGTAGACCATCATTACCTATTTTGTATTCTAATAATGAAGTTTTTGAAATTGGAAAGTAAATATTATTATGTATACTATTATTTAGATCAAAAATATTAAAATAAAATGATGATGATAAGATTTTATTAATTGGTGGAGGTGTTACTACTCATGAAATATTTAAAGCAGCAAAATAATTGAGTGAATAAGATAAAATAAATGTTACAGTTTTGGATCTATTCTCAGTTAAACCTATTGATCATGATGGTATACTTAATGCTGCCAATAAAACTAGTTTGAAAACAATACTTGTAGTTGAAGATCATTATAGTGAAGGTGGACTCTTTGGTAAATTATTATTATTTAATCATATTAGAAGCTGTATCATCTTGTTTAAGTTTGAATAATGAAATAAAAATACATTCCATCCATGTAGACAAAGTGGCTAAAAGTGGTACTCCAGCATAAATGTTATCATTGTATCATTTAGATGCTGCAGGTATTATTGTTAAAGTCAAGTCAATTATTTAATGACAAATCAAAACATCATAAAATAACAACAAAATATACAATTCAATTCAATTCAATTAACTAGTTAATAAATCCTTCATTTATACAAACCACTTCTCTACATTCCTTAACAAATTCATATGCTTTCTCAAATCCCCAATTAAACTTCTTCATTAAATACATTACTATAAAACATGCTGATCTTGACTTTCCTTAAGCACAATGCACAAATACCTATTTAAATTACTATTTCGATTATTACTTTTCCATTCTCCATCAATATTGCATTTTCAATAAATTAATATACATCTTCAAAATACTATTTCACTTCAATATGAGGTTCATCATATATTTTAATGTTTAAATATTTTACTAATATAAATATATACTTATTATTACATTAATCACAATAATTCTTAATCTCAATAGTTGCATTTACAACATGTGTTATCCCTAAAATATCTACTAACATTTCTGTATCTTAAGCATGATCACCTCCTCCTAAATATAATTTATTCTCTATTATTTCATTTGGAAATGTTTTATCTAAAAATCCTCTATTTTTTGTTATCTCATAATTTAAAAATGAATGATTTCCAAAAACTATCTATATTGGATCCAATAATATAAATAACTATCTAACTTTATCTTTATGATAAATATCATAGATCTTTAAAGTAGTTCCAAATAATTCTGAATTCATATATAAACTGCCTTATCCATGTCCAATAAATTTTGGTTGACTAGCAGATCGTTATTTAATTTTTGGACCATTAGATATTGTTATCTCTTTTAAATATATATTAATAATAATACCTTATAATTCTATGACTTTCTTGCTAGAAGCTATTGTCTGATGTTTATTGAAATGGAGTATTATTTATTAGGAATCCGTATCAACTAATTCATCATCATCATCTTACATAATCATAGTATTTGCTCTGCTTCTAATTTTATGTTTCTTTTAGTATGGCAATTTCTTTGATATCTCATAGCACCACTTTGTTACTGTTTCTAAAGGTATGCTAAATTAATCAGAAATATCTGATCCTTCTCCTTTTACTCTATCCTTTAGTAATAAACTGAACATATCAGAAGTATCAAATGGAACAAAGAAATTGTAATTTCTCTTTCTAGTTTGAAATAGCTTTTCCAATTTCTTCTTTTCAGATTATTATTCAGGATACTAAAAATGTTTTTATACATCATCAACAGTCTCCACCTGGTGTATATTAGTAACATGAATACTATTTTTCAAAAAACCATGTTAATGTTCTCTTAAATCATAAACTATAAATGGATATTTTTGAGAGATGTTAAAGAAGTATTAAGGAGTGCAAAAATTTATTTGCATAAATTTTATATATAATTAATCACATTTTTTGTAGATTTAATGATAATGATAATAATTATTATCTCCTCAAACATCATTACAATATTTTCTTAAAATAAGTGAATTAAACAGTATATATATATAAATCAATCTGTATTAGTAGTCAATAATTCATCAAAATTGAAATTAATTTATTTAATTATATCCATAGCTTCTCTACTGTTAATTCTCATAGAAGGATCTTCTTATAACATTCCTTATAATAATTTCTAGATTGTTTAATTCTTAGTTATTGAAAGTATCTCTTTATTAAATTAAAATCTCTTATTCATATTTAGTAATTCTTCATGATCTAGATTTTATATTAAATATTCTCCAGAAAATCTATTTATATAATTAAAAATATTTACAATTCATAAATCACAACTCCTAAACTAAATATATCAGATTTAAAATCGTATACATAGTTTTTTTAAAAGATTTCAGGAGCTATATATCCAGGTGTACCACATAATTAGTTTTCACTTTAAACTATATTATTTATTTAAATTGTAAGTCCTAAATCTATCAATTTTAATTTTTCAATATTATTTTCAAATAAGAGGACATTTTATGGTTTAAAATCTCTATACATAAATCCTTCTGAATGAAAATAATTAATCAGTGATAATAGTTACTAATTTATTCAAATTATACTTTAACAATAATTAATTTTTCTCTCTCATCCAATAAATTATTTTTTATAATTTATTTTAATGTGTCTCCTTCAACAAATTCCATTAAAATATAAAAGTGTTTTTATTCAATATAAAATTCTTTAATTTAGATTAGATTTGGATGTTTAAGATTTTACATACAGAAAACTTCATTAAAAAAGTCCTTAATTATAAAAAATTATCATACTTTATCATGATATTGACTACACTTCTTAATTGATTTGCAAGCAACCAAATTTCCATTAGATTTATTTTAACATTTGAAAACCTAATTTATATAATTTATTATACTGTTCCAAATGCTCCTTTGCCTAGAACACCCATTATTTTATAAAATTAAAAAATACTTTGATATTAAACTTTTCCATCAAGAAATTGTTTAAGTAGAGTTAGATTTTATTGATTCATATAGAAGTATTCCCATTTATTATCAATCTAAATACCAAAGGCAATAACTCTAAAATTCTTTTTATCTAGTTTCCAATCCACTACTGACCTTTCTTGTAATTTTATTATATGAATATTTGAACTTTTAATCTTAAAATTTAATTATTCAATACATTTTATAAGACAACTTTATTGGAATGCAATTCTATAGTGTAGGACTCTTTAAAAATTAGATATTTTTTATGGCAAATCATTGAAAATCAATATTAAAAATTAAATAATTAACAATATAATAAAATAATAACTACTTATTATTGTCTTCTTATGTAATTTTATTATAAATTATATATTATTTTTAAATTAAACAATTTTTCTATTTTGATTGTTCTTTTTGATTCATAAAATTGTATTTATATTGATTAGAATGTTTATAATAAAAATAAATTTTGATTTTTAGAGTATTTAATTAATAATAAATATTAAAGCAAATAATTTCAAAAAAATTTATAATCACAAAGAAGATATATAGTTTAAAGATGATTGATTAAATAGTTTATCTTATTCATTAAATAAAACCAAAAACTAGAGATTTAAATTGATTTGTAATAAATTTATAAATAATGTCTATATAAATGTATATTGTTTTAATATTTTAATTGGCATTAGCAGAATTATTTACAATAAAAAAAGAGGAGTTAAAAACCTTATTCGCCTTACCTATTAATGGATAGGATTTCGAACTTCAAACAAATAATGATGAATGGAATGTATGCTAATTATAAGATCATTAATTAAAATTACAATATACTTAATATGATGGCAACAATTAAAGCAACTTAGCTATTTTATCACTCTCTTAACACTCCATCTTAGTATTGACTGAAGATAGATATATCAATTATTTTCAAGATCAAATCCTTTTTTGGCAATACAATATTCCTTCTAATATAGATATATAAAATGTAACAATGAGATATTGTTAAGTGACATACCTAGTTTATTTCATATCAAATAAAGTATATCGATTCAATCCTTATGATAAAAATTTATAAGAATTCGAAATGTTCTTAAATTACTAACCCCAATAAATAGAAATTTGTGATCAATTCATTTTTGTACTTAATTAAGGTATAATTACTATTTATAACAACTATGATTAAGTTTATTAAATTTAAATAAAGAACTTAGACAACATTACATATTTTACTGTAATAAATAATATTAATAAAAATGGTTATAACATGTATATTTTGGATAAGTAAACAGGATTATTAAAGATTGAGTGGAATCAAACAAATCATAATATAAATTAACTTGATTTAATATAAAATGGTGTTACTATGGGTATTTCTAATGAAACCAACATTTATGTAGCTTATAAAAGATAATATAAATATATTATTGCTTAATATTAAATTATAGATTAATAATTATAAATAGTTAGAAAATTATAGAGTAAGAAAAATATTTTGAAAATTATTGCATATAAAGAGTATACATTATTTCTAACAAATAATAAAATTGATTTACTTTATGAGAATAAAATATATAAGATATTAAAATTTGGAATCAAAGATATTTAATTAATTGGTAATAAAATTATGGGAATAAGTATTTTCGATATATTTTAGTATTAATTTGAACCAATTCCTAATTATATTTAATGTTTTTATCATTTAGATGAAGAAATTCCATATCAATTAGATTATTCATTAACATTTAATGAAATAAATAAAACAATTCATAAGAAAAGAATAGAATTTTCAGTTGAATTATTTATTCATAAATCTAACACTATGAAAATAGTCTTAGGTTTCCTTATTAGTGGAATATTATTAATGTTAATCTTATCATATACATTTTTAACTCTTAAGTAAAAGAATCTCTTAATAAATGAAATGGAATCCAATCTCAAGAAATTTAAAGTAAAATAAGTGCCACTCTTTAAAAGTTTAGAATGTGTAATAAGTCCAAAAGGATAACATTCTAAACTTTAGAGTTTCGATCAAACATCAAATTTTGATTTAAATAAAGTGAGAAACTGAAATATTATCTAATTATATCAAATAATATATTAAATAAATAAATCAAGAGTTATAATCTACTCTAATTCTGATATATTGAAATCAGAAATAATTAAATTTATTACTCTTTTAGGAATATTTAATTAATTAAGATAACAATTCAATTTTAAATCTCCAAGATTATTAATAGTATAATATTGTTTTAATTTTGATTAACTAATATCACATGTTAAACCAATAAACTCTTTTACATGAATTTCCATATCTTTAGGTAACGAATATAAACAATTAATTAAATCATTTTTGCATGATGATGGCAAATATATAGAATTATAATAATTCTTTATTTCTGTTGGAGTGATTATACCATTTTTATTTAAATCTAATTATTGAAATAAAATAAAAAGACAATTAAATTATTTTTAATCTAAAATTCTGACCATATAATATCTGGCCATGATATTGTTAATGCTATTATTTTTATGTTTATCAAAATTATATAATGGCTATTTCAAAGATGATATATAATCATTTATTTAATTATTCAACCAAATATTAGTTTTACATTCATTAATAGTATATCTAAATTGGGGATCAATACAAATCATCCCAGAAATTAATTGCTTTAAATCTTTATTTAAATTATTTAACATTTATTCAATTTGTTAATTATTTAAACTATTTATCTTCATCATTATTTTTCTAATTGAAATTTCTTTAACATTTTTAATAAATGGATGCTCATTCATTAATAATTCTAAAGCTATAATTCCCAAAGCCCATACATCTCTTGCTTTTGATCTATTCCCAAGAGCAGAAAGACTCTCAGGAGATAAATATTTCCAACTTTCAATAGATAATTCTGATAATTCATGTACTTTATTTAATTCTATTAATTTTAATACTCCAAATGGTTTATTGTTAATCAATTTAAAACTATTTAATGTTAATGCACTATGTCTCATATCATTATCATGTAAATACTCAATCGATTCAATCATTTAATTTATAAGAATGGCTTTTTCTAATTCAGTTTTATTTTGTATTTATTAATCAACCCAGTATTCATATATTATATAATAATCTTGATCATCAACTTAAATTTCTTAAACTCCTACAATATTATCGTGTTCCTAATAAATAAATCATGTTAATTACTATGTTTTTTTCTTTTAACCACTTTATAAAACTTTAGTCTTTTTCATCATTCTTTCTCAACTATTAACAAATAGCTAATTACTGATTCTAATTATTCTGTACAACACTTAAATTTGAGTTGGCTACAATAATATTGAAATTTACACAATAAAAGTCCTATCACTTTATGATATTTTTATTTAAATGAATCTTTAAAACTAACTTGCTTTGTATTAAGAATAGGAATAGCACCTTTTCTATTTGTTGATAAACCGATTCTACTTTTTGAGAGTGCTTTCCTTCTTAAAAAAGAATTGTTAAGTGCTGCATCTGTGGACTATATCAAAATTGTTAAATATTTACCTGTGAGGTTTTGACATTTACCATTTTTATTTCACACTATTTTTCAGAATCAAAAACTTCTTTCATGTATTTTTCTTAGTAATACTTTGTTTTTTAAAAAGTTTTTTCCAAATTCTTATTGACAGGGCTCTATTATTTGTTCATTTTTAGTTTTTTTGATAAACATACACCCATTACTTTTCAAAACGAAATAATTAATAATTTTTTTTAATAATAAACTTTTAAGAAATTAGAAAACGTTAAAATATATAGCTTGATTGAGGAAAGTTTTCCTTCAATTTTTTTAGAAATTGTGTCTAAAAATTATTAATTTTTAATTAAANTGGGGATCAATACAAATCATCCCAGAAATTAATTGCTTTAAATCTTTATTTAAATTATTTAACATTTATTCAATTTGTTAATTATTTAAACTATTTATCTTCATCATTATTTTTCTAATTGAAATTTCTTTAACATTTTTAATAAATGGATGCTCATTCATTAATAATTCTAAAGCTATAATTCCCAAAGCCCATACATCTCTTGCTTTTGATCTATTCCCAAGAGCAGAAAGACTCTCAGGAGATAAATATTTCCAACTTTCAATAGATAATTCTGATAATTCATGTACTTTATTTAATTCTATTAATTTTAATACTCCAAATGGTTTATTGTTAATCAATTTAAAACTATTTAATGTTAATGCACTATGTCTCATATCATTATCATGTAAATACTCAATCGATTCAATCATTTAATTTATAAGAATGGCTTTTTCTAATTCAGTTTTATTTTGTATTTATTAATCAACCCAGTATTCATATATTATATAATAATCTTGATCATCAACTTAAATTTCTTAAACTCCTACAATATTATCGTGTTCCTAATAAATAAATCATGTTAATTACTATGTTTTTTTCTTTTAACCACTTTATAAAACTTTAGTCTTTTTCATCATTCTTTCTCAACTATTAACAAATAGCTAATTACTGATTCTAATTATTCTGTACAACACTTAAATTTGAGTTGGCTACAATAATATTGAAATTTACACAATAAAAGTCCTATCACTTTATGATATTTTTATTTAAATGAATCTTTAAAACTAACTTGCTTTGTATTAAGAATAGGAATAGCACCTTTTCTATTTGTTGATAAACCGATTCTACTTTTTGAGAGTGCTTTCCTTCTTAAAAAAGAATTGTTAAGTGCTGCATCTGTGGACTATATCAAAATTGTTAAATATTTACCTGTGAGGTTTTGACATTTACCATTTTTATTTCACACTATTTTTCAGAATCAAAAACTTCTTTCATGTATTTTTCTTAGTAATACTTTGTTTTTTAAAAAGTTTTTTCCAAATTCTTATTGACAGGGCTCTATTATTTGTTCATTTTTAGTTTTTTTGATAAACATACACCCATTACTTTTCAAAACGAAATAATTAATAATTTTTTTTAATAATAAACTTTTAAGAAATTAGAAAACGTTAAAATATATAGCTTGATTGAGGAAAGTTTTCCTTCAATTTTTTTAGAAATTGTGTCTAAAAATTATTAATTTTTAATTAAAAATAATATTTATACATTTATGTGAACAAGGTCTAATCCATGTTTAAACTATTGAATTATATAATTTCATATTGTTGTCGAGTAAAGGTTTTATTAAGAAAATTGTAATAGTACTAATATTAAATATAAAATTAATATTATTATAGTATAATAATTTTTAATTAATTAAAATTTGATTAATTACGATGCTTTAGTAATAACTTGTCAATCATTTGCCTTATTTAATGGCTTTAGATAAATCAAAGGATATTGAATCAATTGGATATTATCTTTCTGAACATTTAAAAGTGGCAGGAGGATATTGGACTATCAATGCAATAGCATGTCTAAATAAAATAGATTAGATTAGTGAAGAGAAAAAGCAACAATTATCTAAATGGCTTAAGGAATGTTAAAATTAAGATGGTGGATTTGGTGGCAATACAAATCATGATTCTCATATAACAAATACACATTATGCAATTTTATTAAGCTTTTTATTGGGATGTGAATTAGACTATGAAGCAGCTGCTAAATATGTTGCAGCCAGATAGAGAAAGGATGGATCATTTGAAGGAGATCAAGTAAGAAGATCTCAAATATATGATAGTGGGGAGAAGTAGATGCACGATTTTCTTATTGTGGTTTATCATCATTAACATTATTAAATAAAAGAGATTTGATAGATGTCAAAAAGGCTGCTAGTTATATAAAGAAATGTAGAAATTTTGATGGATCATTTGGGGGAATGTATATTAAATATATAAATATTAGACCAGATGCAGAATCTCATGGAGCTTATGTATTTTGTTGTGTTGGAACACTCTATTTATGTGAAGATCTATCTTTTAATATTGATGAATTAGCAATGTGGATACATGAAAGATAAACTAGTAAAGGAGGGTAAAATAATTATAAATATTTTAGATTAAATGGAAGACCTGAGAAATTGGCTGATGTTTGTTATTCTTGGTGGATGTATAGTGCATTATGTTTATTGAAAAGAGAACAATGGATAAATTAATAGGCTTTAGAAAATTATATACTTGAGGTACATATTTTAATAATCAATTATGTAGTGTTAAGACAATGATGGTGGAATTGCTGATCGACCAAATAATCAACCTGATGTTTTCCATACATTTTTTGGATTGGCAGCATTGTCCTTGCTCAATGGTCAAAAATATTAGTTGAACCCTATTGATCCTGCATTTGCACTTCCAAAATCAATACTCATTAATATACCTGGAGCTAGTAGATTTATTTAATCTTGAAAATTATATCAAATTTTATCAATAATAAATTTTAAGTAAACAATTAAAAAATATACTTACCCATAATTGTATGAAGAATATATAGAGAATTATAATTATTGTATTAAATCAAAAGAAAAATTAAGTTTAATTCTATTAATCATTACGTCATTAGGAAATTTAAAAAGGTGATAAACTAAATGAAAAAAAAAATAAAAAGATATCAAATTAACAATCCAAACAATTTAGATTAGTTTTAATCTTAATATAAAATATTTAATATACTTAGAATACTTTAATCAGATATATTATAATGAAGTATTATAAAAGAATAATAGACTATTGTTATTGTTTATAATGAAATTAAATTACTTAAATAATAATTATTCTAAATAAATTTGAATACCTATAAAAAGAAATGATAAATAACTATAACTATAATCAATATATGGATTTTTTAAATTTAGTAAAGTCGATTTGATACTTCTTAGGATTATTAGGACTTAATATTTACTTTATTTTTGATATTGAAGTCTTAAAATCAAATGGAGTTTGCCATTCTAACTAGCTGTCTTAAGTCTTGGTACTAGGAGTATGAAGACTTGGTTTAGAAGGATTAAGAGAATTTAACTTCAAATTGTTAGGCTTAATTCGAAAATTTGCAGGAGATTCTGGGATTCTATTCTTTTATTTGGAATTGAAGTTTGGACTGTAGATTGCTTAAGCTTTTTTAAGGGATGAAAGAGTGATTCTTTATGTGTGTTTGAAATGCTTAACCATTTTAGTAGATTGATTTGGAGTTTATTTACCATATAATTGAAGACTCAATAAGGCTTAAGGAGTTTTATTTTTCTATTCTTGATCCTTGACTATGATGATGCTATCATAATTGATATCATAATTGAGATGCCTTTCAGTGAGCTCAGTTTTATGTCGATGATTCATTAACGATAATATTTTTATAATATGTTTATCATTATATTTATGAGAGAAGCCTATAATATTCATAGTCCAATTTAAATTGAACAAAGAATTGAAATAACTTTCTTAAATAGTTAAATTGATAAATTACTTCTAAATGTCTTCTCCTTTGTATACAATGAATTCATGAGGAGTGATATCAAAAAATCCTAGAATTAAGACATTCTTTTGAGTTTATAAGAATTTGATTTTTTAAACTAAAGCACTTATACAACTTTTTTTGAGTTTGTATTAGACTATTGAATTGAATGCTAAATCATAGGGTTCATCATTTTCATGAACTTAAATTTTAATTATTTAGGATTAAATTAAAAGTGCTATTGTTCCAATAATTGGTTTCTCTTATATAATTTATTAATTGTTAATAGAAATAAACTTCTCATAACAATCCTTGACTCTCAAATCTTAATTAATTAAATTAATATATTACATTTCTTTTCTTAAAATTATTGATTTAGTTTTTGTATAAAAGAATTGATATGATTTTCAATAAGGAACATCAATTATTTTTTAATAGTTGGTTTAACTTTCTTCTACATAGTGGAACAAATCCTCTCAACTATTAATGGATAGGAATCATCAAAATAAATATCTACTTTGTATATCTAACTATTATAATTCTATTTAAAATACTCATTGAATTCAATTTATAAACACATAAGTATCTTGGAAATAGGTGATGATGATCTTAATCTACAATTGCTATTTAAATCAAGATAAGCTCTTTTTGTACTTGGTAAAACTTATGAATTTTGTATTTAGCAATTTTAGTATGAATTACTTTATGTAAGAATATTTATGGTATCATTATGTTAAGTTGATTTATCTTGGATTAATTCAAATGCTCTAAAACTTTCAACGGTTTCACTCTTTATGCTCTTATAATCTGATTAATTTTCTTTATCTCCAGAGGATTAAGGTGTTTATGGTAATGGTCTATTTTGTGTGGCTTATTTAATTTAGTGATTGATAGTTTCAAATTCTTTTTCTCTATTAGATTCTAATGGAAATGGTAAGATTTAACATTTTTTCATTATTAATTAAGCTTTGATTCTAAGAAGATTTTAAAGTAGAACAACATTGGTTCCAAATTTAGCGCTTGTTGCTATGAAATTTATTTGATTTTATGCACAATAATTTTCTAATTCATCTTAAAGTAATAATTGGGAATCTACTTTGTTGTTAATAAGTACAATAAATTAATAAGAACGATTCAGTTATTTAAGTATTATTTGAATTCTAAGTAAATAGATGAATATATATACTTTGATTTAGCATATTAGATTGATTATGATGATTAGTCGCAAACAATTAGAAAACAAAGTGCATCTGGTATGTATGATTCATCTTTTTAGAATTCATAGATGAAAAGTGTTTCTTGCATTTTATCATTTAATTAAACAGTTTTGAGATCAGTTGAAGAATCCAATGATTTAAGGATACTTTTTTTACCTACTCCTTTTGCTCCTGAAATGATAGCTTTAAATTGATAATAATATTTCATTTGTAAAATTCAAATTTTAAAATGAATATAATATATACTTAATATAATCTAAAAAGTTTATGATTACAATCATCATAAAGAGATTCATTAAAATTAGAAAGTACTCTAAATATAGTATTTAAATTTATATTTATCAAATAAATGAGATATACATGATATTTATGACAATATGTAACATATATATTTGTTATTCTAAATAGAAATTAAATTAATCTTATTAATACTTAATATCTAATCCATTATTGAAATTATTTATCAAAATAAGATGTAAGTATAATTATCAGAAAAGGGAACTTGTGTCTACTTAGGATTCATTAATAATGTAATTAAATAATAAGTGATGTTATTAAATAATTATCAATGATTAAAAAGTTAATTTATACATTTTCAACTATTTCTAATCCTTACAAAGTTTTGGGTATAAACAAGGGAGCCTCACTATAAGAAATAAAATAAGCTTATTATAAATTGGCTTAGCTTTATCATCCAGATAAAAACTCTGCTAAAGATGCTGGTAAAATGTTTACTCAAGTAAATAATGCTTATGAGATTCTATCTGATGAAGTAATACTATCTAATAGCATAGAGCAAAAGAAAAATGTATGATACATGTGGGGTTTAAGACGATAATAATGATGAATAAGATTTTGAAGATGAATTGAGAGGCAATGCAAATAGTTATTAATAAAAAGCTAGGAGAAAATAATCTAAGGGCAAATATTATTCAAAATTTCATTAAGCAGAATATGAAACTATTTTCAGTGAATTTGATCAATTTTTCTAATAAAAACATGGTAAAAAGAAAGCATACTATGCAAAGAAAAAAGGAGATGATATAAAATTGGATTTGAAATTGAGCTTTAAAGATTCAGTTTTTGGTGGAAAACATAAATTATCATATAGTAGATAAAAAACATGTGATACTTGTAAGGGAAGTAGATGTGCTTCAGGAAAATCAGCTTAAAAGTGCTTTTCTTGTGGTGGATCAGGATGGTTGTTTTATGTAGATGGAGGAAGTTCAATGGAAGTAAAATGTAATAATTGTGATGGATGGGGAAAGGTAGTTAGAGATCCTTGTCATACATGTTAAGGAAGTGGAATAGTTGAAAAAGAATTTGATATTGAAATAGAATTAC